GCAGGGCGCCGCTGCTGGAGCTGGCAGAACGTATTGGCTGCAGCATGCTCAGTGATTCCTTTTGAAAGTGCCAAGGCTCGGAAGGGAAACTTCTGCCTGGGTGTTTTCTTGAGCCCTCGGGTCACGTTCCATAGTCTCGTTGACGGCTTGTGAGGGTCCATTGAACCGCAGGTACCTCTCCAACGTCGCATAGAGAGTCGAATTAAGTGTCGTCGTACGACCGCCAGGGTTCGTCGTGCTTCCGCCCAGTCCGCGGCTTTACCAGTTCGCCTGGCACGTCGTTCAGCACGACGTCGAACTGCTCGCAACTTCTCATAATCTGCGTCGATCGCAAGGTATTTGGCGGGGAGTTTCACCATTTTCGTGCTGGATGTCAATGATGATGTTATGCGGGCAGTGATGTCTGTATCTCCTGCACCATTTTTATATGCTGACTCTGTTTCGTTTCTGAAACGACTCCAGTCTGTATATGGAATTGTCCGGTTGTGCCTTCTTCCTCCAAAGCCGTCGAGGGAGACGAGTAGAGGCAGGTGGTCGCTGCCCCTGGTGACAAGATCTGTCATCCATCGGACGGGAAGACGGAAGTCCTCAGAAACCGCAGTGATATCAATGGCGCTCCTGAGCTCTCCCCGAAGAAAAGTGCATGTTCCATCATTAAGGACCCCCATGTTCCAATAGCTGAAAATGTCTTCTAGGAGTCTTCCTCTCGCATCAAGTTTATCTCCACCCCACAGCGGGTTGTGTGCGTTGACATCGCCACAAAGAAGAAAAGGTCCATCAATTTCCTGCAGCACGGCCTGAATTTCCTCGCCAGAGAAATGCACTCTTGGCGGAATGTAGATCGCGATGATTGTGAAGGATATGTTTTTGTACTGAAGCTTGAGACACACGTAATCGGCTGTAGTGTGAAGGGAGACTTCTTTCCTGGCAACTGAAATGTCTGTGCGCACACACACGGTGATACGACTTTTTTCTCGATCAGGAACGGAATGATGGCACTCGTATCCGGAGATGCGGAGCGTTGAAGATGCATTTGATTCGATAAAGATTGCAATGGGCGTTTCATACTTTCGTACAAAGTCCCGTATATCAGGCAGTTTGTTTCGTAGGCCGCGCACGTTCCACTGGTGCACAGTGCATTCGCGGTATATTTGATGCATAAAAAGTTCTTCTACAGGGTCTAGACGTCGTTCACTAGCGTGCTCTTGAAGTACGATACCTGTGGTGCTCGTTGCGTGTGCTGTAGGTAACTCATTTGTGGAAGTTTGATGCCTAGCAAGCTCCATCGCAGAGCCATTGCTGAACCAGTGTGATTATTTGGAGAATCGCTCGCACCACAGGAGAGTCAAACGGCTTCAGAAGTTCCGTGACCACTGGCATTACAGTTCGTGCAAGGGTTCCCAGTGAGGATATCAGGCTGGGCTGTTCGTTGCCGGTCGCGCTTCGGGAGGTTTTACGGTTGCTGGTTGGCTGTGATTGTGCTTGAGCAGAGGCAGTGCGGAGCGCATGACTGTATGAATTCCGCTGTGCTGTGCGCTGCGATGAATGTTGGGATGTGCCTTGCTCTCTAATGCTATTTGGAGGCTCCACGCGCTGTTCTCTCGATGCACCTTGTTCCCGAGAGACTGATTCAGGGTTTGATGATGCACGCCGTGCAGGGTGCGAACTCCGTTTTCACTCTGTGATGCGTTGCTCTGCTCGGGGGGGAGGTCCTGCGTCTCATCATAAAGGTCACTGAAACGGTTCTGAAGAACGATCAAGTTGTCGTGTTCGATGTTGCGCTGGCCGCGGCTACGGACGGCAGCTCGGACAGTTTTGAAGTCTACTTTGTTAATTGTTTTGTACTTGTTTACGGCTCGTTCTTGTTGCCAGATCACACAGTCTTTCGAGGTTGCCTCATGTGCGCCCTTGCAGTTCACGCACTTGGCCCTTTCGGCTTCGCATCTTTCGCTCGCGTGGGAGCCAGAGCATCTGGTGCACACCTCGGGGCGAGTGCAAACTGCCTTGACGTGTCCAAACTTGCCACACTTCCTGCACTGCGCTGGTCGATCAACGTATAGTTCGACCTTATGTCGTACTCTGCCCAGAAATACGTGTTCCGGTAGGGTCGCAGAAGCGAAAGTGACGCGAACCGTTTCCGTGTCAGCAAAACGACGCACCTGCGTGATTTTCGTCATGTTCGCGCTTAGGTTCCGAAGCAACACTTTCTCCGAGATGCTTGCGTCAACGTCCCGAATAATGCCCACAGCAGTGTTCGGATTCCGAGGCTCGTATGCCCGCACTGCAATGACGACGAGCTTCCTGATTCGCAGCAAGGACGCTGTGGATTCTTGATTTCGTGTGTCCACCGCGAGTATGTTCAATCTCTTGTTGCAGCGAATTTCACCAACTTCGGTAGGGGCGTGACTATTTAGAGCCTCCGTGAGCTTCAGGCCGTTGAGCTTGTTCAGAAGTATCGTCGGGTCTTGCGGTGCGAAGATGACCGTCAGACCGAGTGAAACGATGGCTTTCTTTCTGCTTTCCTCATCACTGGCGCTCTCGATCTTGCGCTTCCGTTTGCGTCCTGTCTTCACAGGAATGAAGTCCTCGTCATCCTGGTCCTCTGGGCCTGATGTAGTCATGTCAGAGTCAGAAGTGTCGTTGGAAGTTGAGTTGTCATGATTTCCTTTGCTGCCGTCCACGAGCTTGCCACTTGTCCCTGCTTCCGCAGGTTGTTGACCGTTGTCGAGATGACCGGCTGCCGTTGTGTTCGCACTGGTGTCGTTTTCCGCAATCACAATTGGGGGCGTAGCCATGGCGACGGCAGCCCGAAATGGCGACGCCGGTGAGAGCATGAGTGTGGGAGGCCGGAGGATACCCTCCGTCCTCCCTGGGGCTGATCGTGGGAGCAGTCGCTGTTCCGTTGGTCGTCTTGTGGTGTCGGCGAGGGATGTCTACTTCCCAGGCTTGTGTTTGCGAGCAGTTGATCTGGGCGCACAACGACGGTCAGGGAGCCACCCGAAAAATTATCAAGAGAGCGGCGGTGCGAAGGCGGGATGCCGTGAAAGGCGATCTCGATCCGAACTAGCGCAAAGCTTGCCGGCGATGTCTTCTTTTTCGTCGTCCACCACCTTCGGAAAGGGTATACCATCGACGGAAATAAGAGGAATGAAAGAACTTTAATTTCGACGGTGTTGGCGGTGTTGCTTTGAGAGCGCAATGATTTCAGGCTTCCACCATGCTATTTACAAACACCATCGAACTTGTTGTTCGCAAGGTAATGACGTCACAAGGGGGAACCATAGGAGGGCGCCACCAAAACATCTCGCCGCTAATAGCGCTCCGCTGTATGTGTGAACAGGCCTTAACACGTTACTACCTAACTGCTCATTCACACTGGAAGCGGATCCGCGTTCGCAAAGCGGTTCCGAACGCGGTTGTATAAAGATTCAGTACAATTGCACGCGCACTCGATGTCATCAAGTGCGCGTGCAATTGTACTGGATGTTTATACTAGAGCCACTCGATATGGCAGCTGGCTCTGGTTTATACAACCGCGTTCGCAACCGCTTTGCGAACGCGGATCCGCTTCCAGTGTGAATGAGCGGTAAGACTGGTAAACGCGCTACACGTTCTGGCGTCTGCAGCAGTAACTGTTCGAAAGCCAAAAGCAAACAAACAAACAGACAAACGCGTGTTCCTCAACGCCTTCTTTAGGTTATTTACTTCGAATATTTTAGACACAGACGGCGAGCGCGTACAGCGCGTGCACCTGAGTCCCCAGAATTCTCCTTGGTGTTTGGGTAACTCAGCGAAATGTCTACCGTCGTTCTTGACAAAAGGGAAATGAAACTCACGCCAGCTTTACGTGCTGTGCGTGTTATTCTGACAAAAAAAAAAAAGAAAGAAGAAAAAAGAATTGCACAAAACGAGGAAAATACCAAACCGATCGGTCACAGAGGTCCACCAATCGCGGGTGGCAGGCCCCGGCAGTGACCTTAGGCCCCCCCAACCCCAAACCACCGCATAGCTGATGTAACTTCTGGAGCTAAAATAAACTTTCCTTTTGCTGTTCTTTCTACATCAGAAGAGGAAGAAAGCACGGCTAGGTCTGCAGTCACGAGCCACGTAATATGTCGCTTTGGGAGTGCTGTGGCTCATCATATTCTCTTGTTTCAGGATTCGTTCTGTGGCCTTCTTATCGTGTTGTGAAGCGAGACAAAGGCGCTCGGGAAGCCATGCGCTTCTAAATGCAGTCAGTGGCTCTAATAATAATAATAAAAAAAGAAAAAAACATCTGAACAACCTCCTCTGCCTCTCTGGAACGTCATTACATTATACACTCACAAAAAAAGGGTATATTCTTACACCCCTTGTCCCATATACGACACCCCAAAACTTAATTTCGACGCACAGCATATTGGCGTCGAGCAGACGGCTTCAAATTTTACGAGGGGCTTGAGAACGGTGATATATACCTCATTAAAGATATAAACTATCTATAAAAAACAACAGAGCAAAAAACACAGAGGTTTTGCAGTAGGGCCAAGAAAACCCCGATTACTTTTTTGTAGTCTGTATCACGTACATAAATTAGCCATCTTAAAAAGTTTTACCACTCGGCTATCAACCCTCTTGTGAAAGTTGGTACCGTCGGTTAGACGTCAGCACGCTGCACGTTGAACTGAAGATTTTGGGTGTCGTATATAAGACAAGGGGTGTAAGAATATACCCTTTTTTCCTGAGAGTGTTGGATAGCGCCTGCCACCGACCGCTCAAACGAGAGTCTTCCTTATAGGGAGAATTAACCGGCGGCCATGACTGTGTTTGTGCCTGCTGAGCCTAAGCTGATGGCGAGCATTCACAGTGCCTTTGCAACGCGCATTCCCCATTATCGAGGCTGCCCGGCACTGCCGTTCTTAGCAGCCTGTATACCTGTAAGTTCGTTCTGAGCACGCTCTGTGAACAGTGATTGGCGCCCGGTGAATACCCCCTATTCTGCGCAAAGACGTTGGGGGCACCTTTCCAGTCGCCGATGATCAAATCCTTGGAGAGGATGTCCGAGCGGGTCATGGCGGGCACGGTGAGGCTGGGCACGAAGGTGGCCCTCGCCAGGGATCCGTTGGCGGCCCGTCCGGGCACCAGGGCCCAGTGGACGCCGTCGCTGCTGCCCAGGAACGAGTCGCCTGACGAGTCGCACGCCAGCATCCGACCGGACTCCGGGTCGAACCCGAGCAGGTAGTTCACGAACGGGTCGAGGACTGCACACCGGTTCAACGACCACCGCGTCTCTCGCCATCGGGTGCAACGCCAAGCGATTGTTTAAATACTTCATCCTATTTTGACAGACGATGGTATTAACAATTGATCGCGACGTCATAGATTATAAACGCTTTAGTGCTTCCTCACATAAAATACGATAGGAATTATGTAATAAACTTGGAAGAGTAGAGTGACGTTTTGAGTGCCTCTGTTGTTTGTTTCGATCAGTCTGTCAACAATCGACATGGTTATCGGCATTTCTTGTCTTATTTTTTGTTGTTGTTTGTCTTGCGAAATACCGGACGCCGGAGACCATAGTTATAGGAAGTTGCGACAGTCTATTATTGGTTTTGACGTACAAAATTCTCAATGCGGAAAAGAAAAAAAAAAAAGAAAAAAAAACGCGGATAACAACAACCATAATGCTCGTAATTATGCTGAATTTAATGCCCATCTTTGACCGATCCTTTCTTAGGGTACGAGCGAAACTTCCGTCGAATACCGACAACAACAGACAAGGACAACACGAAGCATCTGCGAAATATGCGAGGATGCATGTTTGATTATGGATACATCTGCTATCAAAGGAGGCTGCGGTACGTGTATACGCTTACTTGACCAGGTTTTGCCACCGTCGATGGAGGAGAAGCAGGCCAAATTACTGCAAGAAAAAAAAAAACGCACATGAAAAAATTATTTTCCGACGTTATCCAGATGTTTGTGTGTGGGGTGAAATACTTTAACATGCAATACTATATGAAAGTATTTTATTTTTGGTATAAATTATAATTATATATATTGAAAGTCATGCGATAATCAACATTTATACTGATACAGTATCTTCAAGATCTTTGAGGCACTGAATAGCTAACTTAGTTGGTCGTGACCACCCGTTTGAACTGCAGTAAAACTATCAATTTATTTGGTTACAGCGAGGTGAGCTACAAGCTAAACCATTTTTTGCAAAACCGTCAATTTTGTTTGGGGGAACAATAAAGAGGCAGTGCAGTCGCGGCATATCGTGCTCAACTTGAACTATTCACTGAAGAGGTTAATTATACCCTTTCTCATAGTTTCTCCTTAGGTCCCTCTCATCGCCATAACCTTTCCCTGGATACTTCTATGGGGCAGCTGTTTTCACGTTTTATCAGTAAGCAATGTCTAATTGTACAATAAAACGTCTATTCACCGATCGCAGATACGACATTTGCAAAGTATTTTTTCTTTTCATGAATTAGCCTATTTGAGTTTGCATAGGCAGATATGCACAGATAAATTAGCAAGCCCGTAAATTAAAGCATGCCTTTGTAAACGACCAAATTGTCTGTAGCCTAGAACTATCTTTGTTTGCATTGAAGTCTAGCCTATGTATTACATAACAAGTGGATCTGGTAAGAAAATGCTCACTCTGTGCTTCCATGGAAGTCGCAGAAATAGACAATGTTGCTGGTAGTGTCCACAGCAAAGTGTCGAGTTTTCTTGGCTGGGAGATTTTAGAAGTGATTAGGTGGAGGTTTTAGAAGGACCCGATTAAACTCGAACACAAGTAAGAGGACAGCATGTGAGCTGCCTTTTGACTAAGGATAAAACGTCCTGAACTTACATTTGACGTGGGAGTACCAGGTTGAGTCTTCCTCGCAGGTAACTGCGGAAATAAAATGGTAAGTCTGACAACTCCGCAATACACCAGTTTAAATACACCGTCATTGACTCAGAACTGCTCTATAGCGCAACTTCTAAATTGCTAACCTGACAACTATTAATATATGAAACACAAAGCTCATATTATCTTTAACTTTGTAATTATCTGACGAGTCAACCCTATATTACCAAACACAGGTGAAGATAGATGCCGCCCTTAACAGATGACACTAAACGCTGCCACTGAGTTTACAAAAACGTCACTGGTTGCTCATAGCTCTGGTTTTTCTCGTTTATAACAACAGCTTTGCCGACATACTTTTTATTTCGATCTTCAGCAGCCTACCTCCCTTCTCCTGGTCCAGTTCTTCGATGTAGCAACCATAGAGTTCCATCTGCAATCCGATGAGGAGCTCTTCTTCCATCTGGTCGTCCGAGGCTCCTTCGATGACGAAGCGAATCTGCCTCGCCTGAATCGTCTTCTCCAGTCGATCGAGGGCCACGCTGTTCTTGTAGTTGAGCGTCCTCACCTAAAGGCACCGTGGTGAATCGTTAGCGGGACGCGAGATCTGTCTTAAATGCAACAAAATGAATAAGCGTAAAACTGGCACAGAGGGATTACACCTTCTGCAGCGAAAGGCAATCGGGTCATTCGTAATAAGCTATGCCAATATTTACTAAACGATGCTTTCAAAGCCGGCTGAGTAGAACTAAAAGTATCTCTAAAATGACAGATTCGTTATACACTGATAGCTCAAAAGCGTAAATGCCACGATTCGCGAAAAAGATGCTCGGAAACATCAAAACTTTTACTAGCAAAAATAGTCATGAAAGAATAGCCGACAAAGTCAATAGACTTAAAGCTTTCCTCTTACCAACTGTGTGCACTCTGCAGTTAGTTAATGAGCACTGGAATATATTCAATAATAGGGTAGTGTTAAAAGCTCACTCATCGTTGGAAGAAACAACGACTTACTCCTCCATGCTTGTACCAATCTTTTCCGTTGTCGCTGTACAAAAGGCTGTAGTGGGAAACCCTCCTGGATCCTGGTACGTAAAGTACTTCCACCTGAGACACCCTAGTCACTCGCATGAAGTTGATATCCAGATGGGGACGTCGGATGCTTGATTTTAAAGCGGGGGACCACACTGAAATAGAGGTCATGTCCAGCTCTTTATGTCACTGAATGATGACCAACGAAGGGTCTTATTAACGATACCCTGGAAAACAAAGGCGATAATCAAGGTTCGGTGGTGTACCTCGAGGTCCTCCTTTCCTGACATCCCACGGTGCGTGCGAGCTGTCCGCAGCTGAAGATGCCGTGATCTGACAGTTTTCGATGATCCCGCTCTGCAGGCCAAGCTCGAAAACACACTCTGAAAGAAGATCGGTCCGGTCGAGAATCCATCAGCGTCTCTGACAAACAACTGTCCCACCGAAAGCAACAACAGCAAAAGTTTGTCACGGGAGCAGGAAGTGTGCCTCGAAAGGAGTGAGTGCGTCTTTGCGTGCGTCTGGTGCGCTCTTGAAACAGAGTGAGTGCGTGACCTCGCTCGAGAGACGGTTTGTCGTCCAGCTCGCAACAAGGAGCGTCACGTGGCGCAGCGATGCAAGACCGCGCAAGAGCGAAACAAAACCGACCGCTGGCTTCTTGCGTATAGAGCGTAACCGCGCGGTGTTTGGTTCAGGCCAGCATGCTCACGAACTGGACGTTTATTCGGACCAGACTTTACACGCACGCCGGCGTTCAATCACGGTAAATGTAAATACACGAATATTCGGCAAGATCTAATCTGATGCACTACACAGATGGCTGGAGTGATGACCAGACCAAACACTTTAAGGCGACTCCTGGAAAGAGGAGAACGTACAATCGTCCCACGAAACTGCAGAAGGTTCTTGAATTGTGAAGAATACATGGAGGTCAGCTGAGGCAAACGAAGCGAGTTTTACACGGAAGTGCCGGATGCTTTTCAGGATTAAAAATACTGTAGAGCAATGAGGGTACCGTCAAGCGCCCAACAAAAACATCGAGCGCCGCAATCATACCAGTTAACCGACATTAAAGTAACTTGTCAACATTAAGTCCGCGCATGTGGTCTGTTTCGTTCCTCGTATAGACCCATTTCGAAAGATTACCCTCTGTTGGCAGCTGTGAAATCCCCGTACCATGGCGGACTAAAACTGCAATGTCAATGTACAGTTTATGTGTTTTCTTGTATCAAAAGGCAAAACACACCCACAGAAAAAGGCTATTAGCGCAGTGACGTTGCGCTTTCGACGCTGTTTGATTGACTAGTTGGCTCCTAGCGTTGACCATGCTCTGACGTTCACTATCTTATAGAATGACTTGCACGTTCCACGATGTCAGCTGTTCCGCCATTGTATAGCGGTTCCGACCAACGTTACTCGGATCAGCTCAGCTAGCGAACTTCCACGGAGAGCGTGATCCCTTCTAAGACACGCGCTGACAAACGTCAGTTTCCGCTGATAACCCCTAGATTCGGAAATGCTGTTTGAAGCGCCATCCTTCTTGCCCGTTGCGGCCGTGTTTTGAACTACTGTTTCAAGACGCGCCGCAGTGAGCAAGAAGGTTGGTGCTTCGAACAGCGTTAGCCCGGCTGAGGGGTACGAGAACGGATCGCTCTCTCCGTAGGAGTTTGCGCATTGAGTTGATCGAGTAACGTTGGTTGCGACCTTCTAATAATCGGCACGCGACTTTCAAAAAGGGTCTAATAATCTTTCTATTTGCTTTACTGATGATTTTCGTCAGTACTTGTCGGACTGCGATTATACTCAATCTTGGGAGTTCCGTTGATTTCATTGAGTGCCCGGGCAAATAAAACATTTAGCGAAGCCGAGTTCTCGCTCCTGTGCCAGTGACAACTGCCACGTACGTTTTAAGGCTAGGGAAAAAAAATAAACTTGACTTTTTGTCATGCACATTTATGTTAGCTCACCTACTGCCACGAATTTCAGAACCTGGTTTGCTGGTTTAAGACTACCTCAAACGGACAGAGTGCAAAAAATCGGCTGTAGGAACCATTATTGTTGGTTGTCTATGAATTGCGATAGCATTTGTCATCAGACTCACGACGCAGCCCACTGTGAATACGACAACGCAAATTTCGAGTAAACAGGTTATTTTATTAATGAATTGCGACGCAATCATTGACGTCAGAACTACAGCAGCACGCAACTTCGAAACATAGTGATTGCTTCGTCTCTGCAATCGGTTAATCTTATGTCTCTGTGTAATCCTTTAACGTACAAGCTGTTTCTCCACCATCACTGCAGCCTCGTGTGTTTGTCTTTTCCTGTCTTTGTGTATAATCGTTTAATGTTCAAGCTGTTTCACCACCATCATTTACCATGTACCAACTATTTCGGGGCTCCGTCCAGTCGCGACCGTTAGCGCTGTGGCTCTCCGAATCAGCCAAGTTTGGCTACCATGGTCACCAGAATGGAGTGCCGCCGTACCAGCTCTTCTCTCTCGACCAAAATTCGTTTCTTTCACCGCCCCTTCCCCCTGTCCACCCAATTTCATACAATAAAGATGGTTTGAATCGAAATGTACCAACTAACTTAACTCAAACCGATAATTGCTTCGTTGGTTGGGCGCAAATGTGAATGTGTGCGTACTGCCGCTCCGTGTATCCGTGACGTCGGTTTATCTGCGTGGAGGACGACGTCCCAGAGATCGACGTCAAAAACGACGTCCAGGACGACCTCTAGGACGACGTCTGCGGCGATCTCAAGGACGACCTTTAAGACGACCTCAAGGACGACGTCTAGGACGACGTCGAGGACCACGTCGTAGACGATGACGTCAAAGACGACGTCTAGAACGACATCTAGGGCGATCTCAAGGACAACCTCTAGGACGACCTCAAGCACGACGTCTAGGCGACGTCCTAGTGGACGACGCCCTAGGGGACGACGTCTAGGCGACGTCCTAGTGGACGACGTCCTAAAGGACGACGGCGAGGACAACGTCAAAGACGACGTCTAGGACGACGTTTCGGACGACCTCAAGGACAACGTCTGCATACGCATGGCGCCTACGTATGCGGATGTCGTTCGTAGGCGGACATCCTGCGTGTGCGGAGGCGCCGCGCCGCCACTAAGGCGCCTCCACGCGCGCATATATACGCACGGCGCATTCGAGGCCAGATACCGCATCGTGAAAACTGGGTGAAACAGCTAAAAAACGATATCGCGTAAAAAATAAGAAGAGCCAGGTTCCGGTGTGCTGCCCTGTCGTGCCCAAAAAGAAGACCAGGCAGAGAGGACTTAGATCTCGCCATTGCTGTTGACGGTGAAGAGGACGTGGCTCATGTTGCCGCAGGCGGCGCCCTGGGCCTGCTTCTGCGACCCCCGGGAGCTCTGGTCGCAGATGGCGCGGTAGGGAATCGTGGCTAGCGTCTCGCCCATCCCGTAGCCACGCTTGTTCTCGGGGTCCACGGCCAGCGTCAGGTTCAGCTCCACTTGGTCGGCGAACATGAGCGTCGGGAACTGCGCCCGGCGGGTGACATGAGCACTTTTTTTGGAAGGCAAACTACGTAACGCGTAGTTTACACTAGAATCCTTTTGATGCGCATCAGAAAGCGTCTGTGTGGGCACCCTTACCTCCAAAGAATACAGAGTTCAAAGTAAACATAAAAATATAACAAAAAGACTGAAGCTAAGAATACAAAATATAGAGGCAAGTCTCAATATTGAAATGGTTGTGTTCGTCACCTGCTTTGTCAAACTCCGTTTTAAGATAACCATTAAGCAAACTTCAAGATAACCATTAAGCAAACGTTTTTCTAAGCTTTCGTTCAGATAATGTTGACCAAAACATACGTGTCAACTGCGCTAGCTCATCCGTGACCACACTTGAACCCAAGATTGCGACGCCTCACGCTGTGAAGACTGCTTCCCAGATCTGAATTTAAGTGCGCCTGAGTGCGACATTGCAACCGCTTATCACACTTACGACGAGAGAACACTAGAGAGATCGTATTACAGAGAGTGTCCAACTGCTGGATTGGGGTCACGTGGTTTATGGACCGCGTTTGCAATACGAGCTGCGAGCAGGCGCCGAAAGCGTTGATCGTCTGCAAGCGCCTCCGCCTTTGCGCCGGCTTTCCTTCTCGCCACGTGACAACGCAGCGCAAGCGCACTTATGAAAAATCTCCGCGGGAGGCGTTCGCAACTAAGTTGCAACCGCTCCCCAGAGTATGACGTGGACCCTCTCTACAATCTATAAGCCCCCTACAGAACACATTGGCACACTGGCGCCATCTACCAAGCAGTTTTGGAACGCGTCCAATCTGCGTTTAATAGAAAGAAGGTATCGCAGTACCTGCGAGATCAAATGTCCGCACTATCTATGAAAAATGGTCGCTCGTATACCATAGTCAAATTTATTGAAAACCAACGCCAAAAGGATGACGCGTAAAAAACATAAAAGCAGAAAACATACGCAGATCGAAAGCGTTCCACGGCTGCACGATAGGTGGAGCCATTGTGGCTCTGCTGTCTTTGTAAGTGGCGACAAGTCACACTCAAACAAAAATATGTGAACCGGCCTGTAGATTCCGCTTAAGTTTATTACGCGCGATGCATACGTTTCTGGCGAAAGTCGTGTGTGTTGACCGCGGTCATGCTAGATGGATGGATGGATGCTAACGGCAGTACCCTTTATAAAAGGCGGTAGCTTGCGCCACCTAGCCTAGAAACCAAAAGTATATGGCTTTTCTTTTCCGCCAATTCTCTTAATTGCCTTTTTTTTTCGTTTTTTTTTTACGGAATAAGGTAAGCGACGCCTCCTCACCACAATGTCGACCCCCGTGCTGGAGTTTGTGACGAGAGGCTGGTACTTGCTGACGGACACCACGTCCACGAGGGACTCGAAGGTGATGAAGAAGGGCAGGAACAGTCGGAGCACCAGTTTGCTGGGCTCCGCGCTCGAGTCGTCCGAGTGACGCAGGTAAGCGGACACAGACACGCGCTCCCTGCGAGGAGGCAGTCCGATCCCCTCTCAACGTCCGGGCTCCACACAGCACAGAACTCCGTCTCGAGCAAGGGCTTGCTTAAAGGGACAAAGGCTTAAAGGAAAGTGAGCAAATATACGGTAGGGCGGTGCACGCTAAAAGTCGCTGTCACACTGCTTGTAAGAGAGATACGGTTGGTGACAAGATTATCTCCAGACACGCCACAAGCATTTGCGAAGTTCATTCTTATGTATGCTTCTATCATGTCTGCAGGGAGTTCACGACCATCATACGAGAAGAAAACATTACTCAGACAGCGTCTGGAGACTGACTTTTTGAGCGATGTAGTATCAGTGTGACCACTGTTTTGATGTGTGCTCAGGCAGGGCGCCTGTCGTTTCGGTACAGTGCACGTGTCTAAAAGCGCGTGATGCATTCGAGGGGAAGTGGGAGACTCACTGCCTCTCGTAGACGCGGCTGTCGTCGAGTAGCACCCGGAAGTCGATGCGCGGGCTCTCCTTGCCCGTGCGCACCACTCGTAGCATCTGGCTGGCCGTGGCCTTCCAGCCCAGGGCGGACACGTGCAGTGTGACCGGGTGCTTGCTGCCGTCGTCGGCTACCGGGTGGTCCGTCATCTCGGCCAGCACCTCGACCACCAGGTCGTCGTCTCCTGGCCGTAGCTTGCCGCGCACGTGGCTGTACCCTGCGAGCCGAAGCCGCAGTCCTCGTCATATACCAGGGCCGTTTCGCCAGAACAGCGTCTCAGATGAGACTCTATGAAAGAAAGCCTGGAGGCTCGCTAGCGTCTTCAAACGCGGCCAGAGTGTACATGGTTCTGGACGCGGCGCGAGTCCCGCTCAGCTCGTGCGCTGGCTTTGGTTTCTTTCCCCAGTCTCAGCTGAGACGCTGTTTCTGGCAAGTCGGTTCAGGAACACTGGGCAGCCTACGAGGCCGCGGTCCTACCGGACACGAAGCATTCGACAACGCTGGGCAGCCTGCGAGGTCATAGCCTCGTAATAAAAAAACAACTCATGGAGTATTTGAGACAAAACATTAGAGAGTGACGAAAGGCACAATCATGGCTTGCACTTACTTAGGCGTGTTTTTTTGTTTTTGTTTTGTCAGCACAACCTGAAACAATAAAATTTAAAGTTGACACGCTGCGCAACTTGTTGCTGCAGTTTGCCAAGTTTGTTTTCTTTTTATTTCCATAAAAAGGAACACAAAGAGAACAGAAATGAGACATGCATGATCACAAAACTTTACCATATAAAAAAGCCCGATACTGAATAATAGCAAGTGGAAACAAGGCGTGAGTACGCTACACAGCTTAGCTTGCTGTGCTTGTCTTGTATCTATAACAGTCAAAAGTTTTCAGGCATGATGTTTAGCATCAGTTCGAGATGCAGCATGCAGTTTCGATAGAAACGCTAAGCCATCATTGCATCTAACATGGTGAACCACTCAATGCGTATTTGTTTAGTTCAAACGTATTGGCACTATACGGCTAGAAATACCAGCATGCCAAGGGAAGTTGCGAGTATTATCAGCCGTAAACCCCCAACGTCACTGCCTGAGTCTTTATTCAGACACACTAATTGTATGACCACGTTCGATCTCGTGCTGATGTAGTAATCGTATCAAATCACTATGCTGCGTTTTGACCAGGTGTCTCACGTCGTTGAGGAGCGCACAGATCTCATGCTATCTACATATCCTCCCAGGGCTTAAGACATCTTGATATCACTCCCCAGCTTATGAGAATACACCGTCATCTTATAACAATAGTCAACTATTAATTGCACAGCGAGCGACAGGGTCATATTAGTTACTTCCCGTCGTTCTAAAGCTGATGAAGAAAAGGGACGCCCACGCGTTGACTTCTCCGGATATCCCCGGAGAGCCTTTTGCTGGAACTAAATTGCGCGAAATTTTATGATCAGCGTAATACGCGCAGAAAGAACGCACGGATGAGTATAACGCGAAGAAAACATTACGGGGCCATACGTGGTCTTGTTTTCTTTCATCACGTGTAGCCTACGTATAGCAGTTCGTCCGCACTGTGGTCATCCCTTCGTCAATAATCTTTGTCCCAGGAAATTGGATTTACTGGTCCCCATCGCTGCCTACAGGGTTTGTTAACTGACTAATTACATTTTTTTTTTCTGAAATCGCAGTGACTGGTTCTCTTATGTGTTCTCTGAGAAAGCCGATGCGCGGACCCTTGTAGATGGTACGACGCGTTTTTACGGCTCATGCGTTGTTATCGGAGTAGAACCGAACTTGGACAACTAAGAGCCTGACAGCTCCGATGAATGGTCGCTCGCGCACCGGGGTTGGAGAAGAATCCGAGCGACGCCGCGGCTCGGTCGGTCTGCACGGTGCCGAAGGACGAGGACAGGCTGACGTTGAGGGCCCTGCTGCGCCAGCAGGGGATGTTCCGCCCCACGGCCTCGACCCGGAGTCCGTGCAGGTTCACGATGCCGCTCTTCTCGTGCACGGCGCCGCGGGCTTCCACCTGAGGCCAGCCCAGAAGCTCGTATATAGCGATGGAAGACCCAACTGCTGCTCTTTTTCTTCATTGGGTTGGGGGCGACGAGGATCCTCAATGTGTGTCGCGAATGCTTTACAAACAGGAACAAGAACCTGAGCATTATCAGATACCTTTCCTAACCAGCTCTTCTGCCTACCTTCTCTTCTTGGAGACCCGGGTCAGTTTGTGCCACATAAATAAACTACCGATCGCAAGGGGCTCTACGAGTAACTGCCAGTTTATGAAATGCAGGGCGCGGTGAGTTCCACTATGAGTTCCGATCATCTTATCATCGCAGCTGATGAAACTGAGAAATTGGCCAACAAGAGCGCCGAAAAACCACTCACGAAGAAAGACACGTGAGGTATATAAGAAATGCCCTGCGTTTTTATAAGCTGTCCGTGACCGTAACGCCATCCAAAGGTAACTATAGTAATTGGGTTAAGCAGCTCAAGTGGCATCCCGTACCTCCACTTGAATTCATGGCTGAAAGGTAATTTTCGTCAACGTGAATTCGCTGGCTTACACATATGATGGGTAGTACTATATTTGCGAACTAATAATAATAATAATAATAACAATAATAATAAAAAACACACGGGCAAGAAACTTAAGAAGGAGAGCAGTGTCCCTTCTGGGCAGACCCCTTTCTACCTGACTCTGATATCACTCAGACAGCACCTTTGTTTATCACCAGTGACGGGTTCTCGGCGCAGCCTTCGAGAAAGTGAAGAGTGAGAAAGAGACCCACGTGAAATTCTGCCATGGTGCCCCTTGCCAGCGTAATGTTGAAGGGGATCCATAACCGCTGTCGCACCTTGATGTCGGTGGGGCCCCAGCCGGCTTCTTTTACCTGAGGCTCACCCTGCGAGGAAAGGAGCCAATGGCACGAGCAGTTTCTGTCAGGTCCTGTCACGTGTTGCAAAACAAAGTTATCGCGATAAAACCAATCTGTGTTGATACGTACAATAAAAAAAAAAAAGAAAACCTGAGATTTAAGAGACAACGAAGCCAACGTGATAGTACACTAATTTTTGTAGCCAAACGTCGGCTTCTGAAAGGCTTTCTGCTCTATGTATATATTTATTTTTTTATTTTTTAACGAGATAGCGTTAAGCAGCTTGTGTCGCAGAAAAGGCGGCCTCGGTGGCGTGACGCGAAAATCCTGATTGGTCGATGGTGTTATGACGTCAGAGCCACATGACGTCGCGCCGGGAATTCTGAACTCACAACACTCACGTGAAACGTGACGTCACGCTCGGAATGAAAGTGATTATAAACCATAACATGCAACGCCAATAAAAGGCCGCTGCACGTCTCAAAAGATTTCAATTTATGAAGTAATTCATTTGCCTTAAATAAAGATTAAAAAAAAAAAATTAGGCGGTATTCGAACCTACCATCCTCCGGTTGCGAGCGAGCCACGCTACATACTTGGCCACGCAAAACACGCCAGCAGGGCTTTTTGTTTTTTTTCTTTTCCTTCTTTATTTTACGCCAGCAGGGCGAATGAGAAGGCGATGCGAACGGGGCCCGATAAGGTCCTCCAAATTTTTTTTTTTTTTTTTAGAATTGCTAATTTGCCCGTGATGCATTGTTCTCGTTAAAACCAACAACAACAAAATACAACTGGTATTTATTGTCGCTTGTATTAAGTTCCTCGTTTTCTAAACGTTGCACAGGTGGGCACCGCTTCAGTGAACCATAAGAGCAACTACATTTCATTCCAATTGAAAGACTCAAATATTTTTTTAAAGGGGTCTGCGGGAACGACGCTTTAAGTTCAACTATAACCGACAGTTATAGCTCTTCGGACCCCAGCGAGTGACCGGCGATGCATACTTCGCTGAGCAGATATAGTATAGCTTCTAGCCGAGGTCGGAACTGTACATACCTTATAGACCAACTCAACTTTTTGACGTCACGCCACTGCAGTAGCGCTGCTGTCGGCACTGCGCATGCGCAGTGCCCACAGCCTGTGTTGGCAAAAGCGGGTTTGTTTGTAAACAGTGTGCTGATAGATAGAAACAAGCGTGCCCGTCAGCGAGTAGTATCGTTTGTAGTAATTAGTATTCGTTCTTTCAAGCGTTTCTCAGCCAGTTCACAGACTCTGTAACCACATGATTCGGTTTTGAACTTTTGTTGACCCGCTTGACTGGTTCCGATAGGCCGTAGCGCGATATGAAAGTAGCCCTTTACCGTCCCCAGGGTTTGGTCTGGTACGTCGGCCAGACGCAATCGAGTGGTCGTGGACTTGCGTTGGTCGGCGCCAGCGACCGCTGTGGCGGTTAGGCTTATCTCGGTGCCAGGGGCGAGGTTGGAGTCCCGCTTCAAGAGCAGGGGAACCGTGAACCTCAACTGAAATGGAGAGAACGCAGTGTGGAGCGGTGGAAACATCGCACCGCTGCGTACATCTATTTTGTTGCGTCTACGTTTATTTTTGCTTCTTAGGTTCGTAGACCTTACTTCATTCGTGGGGAGGTCTAGAAATATGACGGTAATAAATCTAGGTTGATAATAAACGAGTTTAATTTTTTACTGGAGTTCGGAAAATAAATTTTGGTTCTGTTTAAATCTAATGTTACGAACTTTTCATTTGTGTGCAATTGTAATCGCTGCACCTGTGAATTCGACTCTTTCATAACAATATTTTTTTTACGTCCAATGATACTTGCGTTGAGGGTAAATGTAATTTGTGACTATACATCAGTATAATGCTGATCTTCACCAATGTTTAGAAAACTATTACGAGAATTTTACAACAATAATTTGTCTGAATGCCCCAGAACCTTAATTTTATTTCGCAAGCGATTCCGAGCTGTACTTGTAACCGATGTTTTTTCGGGTATCAAATTAGGAGTACAGAGCGTCCTACTTCTTTTATCTTCGATCGAAATACACAAAAAGTGAAACACTGACAAAACATTTGAGAAACTTGACAACTCACCATATTTTCTTCTGGAGTCTTTCGCTCGATATATGAGTTACAGATCAAGTGCATGTCGTAGTGTCCGAAAGTCCTTTGCCTGTTAAAAACAAAACAACGAAAATTCGAGAGATTTGAAAACCAGCGGGCAGAAAATAATTCGAATGATGGTATTAGTTATAATAATTTTTACACAAGCACACTTTTCTTATTCTATAACAAAATATTTAGTATTCCTCGTCTCGTAACCTGTATAAGGAATTTGCGTTTTTTATTTGCTATTATCTTACGTTGCAAGGATTAGTTGAAAATAGCCCAATAAGTACAAACGCTCGTGTCTGGCCAAAGAGTAACATTGGCTGTTCAGCTCAAATATTTACGCCCCTCGAAGTCGAACCGAACACGCAAATCATGCAATCATAATAAATAAAAAAAATCTTAAAAAAAAATATTGAGCTCATCGCCAGTTATGAGGATTCTAAGAAAATCTAAGGTCCTAATATAATAACTCTCGTAGAAGAATACAGCTGCAGGAGCAAAAATACACGAGGCGGCGAGGACGTGCGGAATTAACAGACCTGCCGAAAAGCATGATAAGTCTACTCACACCGGCTCTCATTCAATTACAACGTACAAAAGTGATGCGTAAGATATCTATAAGCATAATCAACTTTTTTTCCTTCCTTTTATCTCGCAGCGTGACTTCACTAACCAGTGCTCGCGACTGACATACATCAAATGCAAAACACTCGATGTCAATCGAGATTTTTTATCCATCTTTCAAGCGGCGGCTACATACCTGAGCTGCATTATCGTAACATCAACGGTCATTAAGCAGTTTTAGCATAGCGTTGCCGTACAGAGCGGCATTGCTACCCGAAGCTCGCGCTGCACCTTCCAAGCATGCTCTTCAGCGCGCGCAGGAAGCGTTGCCGCGCCTACGACCCTGCGGTAACGCTATGCTAAAACTGCTGCTGATTTCACACCTTCTGCGTCACACGTCCCGCCCCACAGATTTTTTTTTCTCGGCAAGAACAAGTTGGAGTGACCACCAGCATTGTGCGACGACGTCACGTGCAAGCCACGACACAGAAAAAAAAAAAAAACGTTCCACGGCAGTCCACGTACCCAGCCTCCGTGAGCGCCTTGCTCCATTGGCTGGGCTTTGCGCACGGATAGTTCTGGCCTAGGTGAGAGATGCCCTCCTCGCACAACTCGAAGTCCTGTAAGGAGGCGGCGCCGTCGTCCAGCGCCAGGTCGAAGCTGACCGCGGACGCGCTGAAGGGCTCCAGTTCCAGGAACAGCGTCATCAGGGCCATCGCTCCGGGAGCTAGGCTGCTCAGCTGGGACTCGTGCGGTCCCACGAGCATCTGGCGGGGCGGCTGGGCAAGCTGGGGTCGCCGAGAAAAAAACACAGAAGCCGCAATCAAAACAGGATATACTCAAAACCGGGGTTTGACCCGATGCTAAAGGAGGTACTCTTAAATAAGTCAGCGAGATCACTTTCTTGCAGAACACGAAACAAGGAATCATGGTGAACAACACCAGGAACTCAAGGAATGACAAAGCTCAGAATATATCTAGAGCATGCCGTTTCGCTTAATCATTCTCCCAACGCACATTTTATTTTTCAGATTTAATCATATTTGAGTCACGTGGTTCGCCATTGGCTGGGGTACTTCTATTGTTCGCCGCGTTGGCTGTCTCCCCTTTCTGCAGAAAAGTGAACTCGCAGACGTTTTCCTAGAGTGTGCCCAATCGTCACGGCAACTTACGAATCGCATCATACACTCCGAAGTTCCCGAATTTACACTGCCCCGCGATGTAATCCCAGTGCGCATTATTGGTATTTCTTTAATAATCTCAGCCAATGAGACGAGAGAGCGGTTTCGCGCTCCAATGGCGATATCTCAATGGCGGCAATACGACGTCCACGCCTCTTTCCAATGAAACCGCATTTTCACTGGAGCATGATATAATCGTCCTTCTGTTTGGCTGCGCTGAAGAGACGGAGACCAGTGATTGGTGTTCATGGTGCTTCGCGGTGCAGTATAAACTCAGGGACATCTAAGAGAGCAGCGAATAATGAGACAAAAAAGCGGTTTGGATATGGGATCTGCAGAGACAAGATGAGCCTGCTAAACATAATTATAATTGCTTTTGTGCAGATCGCTTTTTCGAGCCTCTTCAATCACTTGGTGTGCGCAGTATCAGGAGTCAACCCTCCCATCTACTGGTCTCAGCGCCGCCCCAATTTAGCGGATCAGGTTGTATTGAATTGTTGCTTCTCTCTTGGTTTAACGATTCCCTCCAACCTCTCACAGGTTGATATTATAGCACGTGGGTTAACGTAACTTTGAAGAAGAAAGCATAGCTTACTCGAACTGAATACCTGTACAAGGTAAACTATCATCAACACGTAGATATGGATTCTTTTATGGCGCTGCATAAGCCCAACCTGCATAAGCATAAAACACTCGCGAATAATAAATTACAAAAAATGGAACCTCATCTCCGGTGAATCTGTTGACGAGCAGTGTGGTGACGTTTCAGTTCTGCCAGAGTGGACTGGAGTAAGGAAAGGTGTGCCGGAATTGAAACGATCCACGCTGCACAAAAAGGCCGGGTCAAGCAGCAACTTTACATGAACTATATTCAATCGTATTATGTTAAGTTAAATTATAAGGCTGATGACCAAATACGTGTAGCCTCAGGTATAAAATGAAAAAAAAAATAGTACCTTTCCAGCCTTGCTGATTTCACTTATCTACAGGTCTCTTACCCGTAGAAAAGTAGTGCATGGTACACGACAATACAACGTTGCACGAAACACAGAAGTAGAACCTATAAAAAGGAGACGTTGTTAAGCAAGAATTGTCGCAGATGACTTCTGCAGTGTTTTATACCTATTGCCGAGTACAAACTCATCCGCCCATAAATTGGATCCTCGGAAGCGAACTCCTGTCAGCCGAAGTGTGAGCCAGTACAAGTCTAATGCCTCATTCACCACTAGCGGTTGCCTAAAGATTCAGTGCACTGTCAAGCGTAGTTGATGATGAAAACGAGCGGATCCGCTTCGCGGTTTCGATTCGAACACCGGTGTGAGTGCAGCCTAATACACACTCACCGCGCTCTCTGGCGATCCCGCCTTGGGCGTCGAACTGGCCACGGGCACGATGAGGCTCTCTTCAAAAGTTCCCTTGGAGCCGTATGAGATGCGGCACTTGAGGGCCTTGTTCTTGGTGGCCGTCTCTTTCACCTTGATCATCACCGAGAACACCACGGTGTTGGGGTCCAGGTCCTTCACCGCTCTCATCGGGTACGTTCCTGCGTCCGTCAACGGAACTTGTACAGTGACGGCTGCATTCTTGAGGTAGGCCGCACACACACGATGAGATGGCCTTTCCTATGGTCATCGACAGTCTAAGAAACACACGGCGTGTCGAGACCCGGGAATCTTCTTGTCGCTCCGCGGCCAACGAAGTTGCGGTATCAGCCGATAGTAACCCAGAAGGACGAATCACAGAGAAAAACAAGCTAATAAACCACGCACATCGTTTCTCAAGCTGTCAGTGATCGTAATGTCTCGTCAAAACCTCATTGCGAGTCATCTGCATCTCAAGAAATAGACCTTGCGTACAGACGATTCCAGAGCACACGGGCGGCCAAGATTTGCTTTGCCTCGTATCAACGAGAAGTTGAGACACTTAAAACTGCGGATCGAGAACCCAGGCAATGCTCGCACGTTGGTGACCATAACAACGTGGTCTCGAGAAAGGCGATAATTTCTCAAGAGACCGCCATTATAAAAGAAAAGAGAACGAAATAGATGGGAAACAAAGCGAGAAGTCAAGTAACGACTGCGATCATCCAGAGGTGGTTAATACATACACATAAGATATTCCAAGCGAGGAAAAAAAAAAGCATTCGTGAAGGATCTTTTTTTTTTTTTTTGGTTTTGAAGGAACTGTCTTGCGTTGTCATTTAGGTATATGGCAATCAGTAAAATATTTATGGGCTACTATTTTGCTGACTTACAATATGCTTACATAGGTTGCATATTGCATGCATATATTTTATATAGGTTGGAACTAACGAAGATTTATATCACGGTGAAGAACAGATCGCCAGAACTATCTCTTGGCTTAACTTCATTTTGGTGATAACTTCTAATAAATCCAGTAGGCCTTTCTGCGACAACACCAAAATCACTTATTTACTTAAAATTTACGCAATAAAATATGTGGCACAGTGGAAAACGCTGCACTAAATTTCTGCACCGCGCGTCCTAAAATGTACCTAATGCAAAATCGGCAGCTACCATGAAGGAATTCGACCGTCTATCGGGGCACGTTCTTAGAAACAAAAACTCTTTCGTGGTTCTGGATCGCTGCTCTATTATGAAAGGAGCAAATGATTTTCTATACATTGACAAGAAATTGATGTGAATTTCCGTACCTTTTGAACGCTGCTAATTTGCTCCTTTTATTTGATCGGCTACGTTTTTCTCATCAAAGTGGGACGTTTAGCAAAAAAGCTTACTGTATTTTTTCTATTTTTTAGCACTGAATGTGTTTTAAGGCTCGATTTCAAGCGAAGACGTTTTCACGCATAACTAAAACATAATGAAGCATACATATTCTATAGCAGGAAATGCATAAGCATATAAACGGCATACTTAGTCGTAATACTCACAGTTTATCATCTTAGGCCTTTATTGTAATCGTAATTAGCTCAACCTATTTAGCGACACAGAGGTTATCAAACTGCCGACTGGTTCAAGGGAGCCTGCGGTAGCATACGACCGTCGTGGCGCGCAGCTGGCTTCCGAATGAGGACACGTAGCTCCCCACATAATCTCTCGGCGTTGCGGGTCCGAAATTAATTAAGTCTCGTCTCGACTGATAAGTCTTGTCTTGCGCGCACAAGTGTGTCATGTATGCAACAAATCCAAAAAACCACCCGTAACCAGACATAACAAATCATAGCGCATGCCTTAACGCGCATGTAAGATACATTCTGTTTATCAGAATGACTGAGGCAATTTTTCTTAGATGGAAATAGAGTAATATCGCTCGAAGATTAGGTAGTCCTTCCGAGTCGCCTCACCGACGTTCCCGAGGGCCTGCAGGGCCAGCGAGGCCCGTTTGTTGCCGTCGTTGGGGTCATCGTGGAGCGTGTAGGTGGCCGGCGTGCTGGGGTCCAGGCAGGGCAGGCTGTCCCCGACCGACTTGACCTTGAGCACGCAGACGCTGATGTCGGAGCTGGCCGTGGCCACCTCGACCAGGTAGAGGCCCATGGTGCGCGGAGGCGTCTTGAGGACCAGCTCGAACTCGGACACCATGCCCGGCACGATGGGCTCGGTCCAGAGCGGCAGGGTGAACGCGTAGATGGGATTGTTCTGCGTCGGCGTTCGTAAAGAATAAAAAAGGCTAATGTAATGAGCATCTTTACTGAGGCTTTCCAACGACAGCCGTTTTCGTTAGAGAACTTCTTAGAACGGTACTGGGTCGGCTGCTTTCTCTGGTATCGACAAGCGATTTCTTTCTGTTTTTTGCCAATAGTTGTTCTTTGCCATCAGTTTTACTTGAAGTTCTAATACAGAGCGTGGTTATTATAACTTGTGGCAAACGTATATTAGATGTGTTTTTTTTTATACCATTTGGACTGATGTATACATTAAATATTCAGTCATACATTCTTTTTGTAACTTAACTTTTTTAATTTTTTTTTCTAGTCGACGGCAGGATATTACGAAGACTATTTCTGTGTATTGTTAGCGTCATTTGATCATCTGACCCGGTTTCACACTTATTATGCCAACGCGTCAATGTGCCATTCCCATTCGCTTCCACTTGCTCCAACATTTTTGTGGCTTTGGCAGTGAAAGGAACAGATGCAAGGAGAATGTAATTTAAAATCATTAGTTGTTTCACACCTCCGTATACGTTTTGTGAATTGTTGCGAATTCTGACCAATTTCGTCCCTGACTGTAGTTCGAATGGGGCAGCATGGGACTTCTGCAATAACTAACGGACACAAGGGAGTTGTTGCGCACCCTGAGCAGGTCCTTGGAGGGTCCCCTGGTGGCGACGAACTTCTTCTCCTCGGAGAAGACGCTCTTGGAGGCGATGGAGAGCACGGTCGAGATGCCGTAAGGAGCCCCGTTGGCGAACTCGGCGTCGTCTTGGAGGGTGGCCACAAAATTAACGATAATCTTGCTCTCGGTGGCATTGCCCAGGGACTTGGGGATGTGCGACACGGTGCCCAGGCTCACACGGGCGGTGTCGGTGTCCATGCGGGCTGGGTTGCTACAAAGCGCAAGGAATCAACAACAATAAAAGTATGTTAGAGCGTCAAGATTGTTCAAACACGGAGCATATAGGGCCGTCAAGACAACTGGTTTTCTGAGAGTCCAGTTTTTTTTTCTGACCAGAAAAACTCTTCTAGCAAACAGCTCTATCGCTGAGACAAAAATCTAACTGGAATTATTGAGTTCAACTCAGTTGTTTCAGGTAGTCGGGATTTGGGTTGCAACAGTTATTATGACGTCCAAACCAGTTCAGCACGTAAGGTTAGCCCAACAGTCCCGTGTACATTTCCCCGTTTTAATTGTTGACCTTGTGCCTCATTGCTCACGACGAAACTACTCGCAGCCTCACTTGAGACAGTCTCAACAGAAACGTTACTAGGACTGCTGCATAGCTCGAGATATGGCCTGCTTTAGGGTGCTATGTACATGCGTATTGAAATCCCGATGCCAAAATATTGAATCGTGTTAATACCTACCTTTTCTTAGCCTTACTAATGACCTTATGTATTGCATAGGATTAAAAAGCAAAGGACAAAATCTGCTTTACGTAGAGCTCGCCGAGACCCCCCCCCCCCCCCCCCCCCGCCCTTCCACCCCCCCGACCCCTTTCCACCATGATGGCCAAAGATAGCGGAATACCAACTGAACAAACATACTACGAACGCAAATTGAGTACATGATTATACCCAATAATAACAACAATGCCATCCAGCAATGCCACTCAACATATAAATGAGAAACGTAGAAATAAAAAAAAAATCAATGTATTTTGCATATTTGTAAATCCGAGACTGGGGATACGGACAAGGGACAAACACAGAACGTATCCCCAGTCTCGGGTGTACAACTATGCTTAATTCACACCAACTAGCTTGCACCCTCACCATTGTTTCATCAATGTATTGTACTGTCTCACACCAGAGTATGGCTCCCGGTTTCATTTCTATAGCGGGTTGGCCGTCGTGTTGCCAATCACATGGTTCTTACATTTTACCATAGGAGACGCCGTCGACGTTGATGGCGTCCAGGACCGACTGCATGCAAGGCATGCCGCGTCCCACGAACGACACCCTCGCCCGGCAGATGTGCAGGCCGGGCAGAGTCGGGTTGTTCTGTCCAGCCACCTCGAGCGTGACGTTGGTGTGCGTGGCGCCGGGCGGCATGGCGAGCACCACGTCCAGAGCCATGGAACCGCCAATGTAGAGCTCCCGCCAGCCCACAGCATCGAGGATCTTCACGTCCGGGTTGTACATGTAGCGCTGTGGGGCACAACAAGAACGGACAGGCAGAAGTAATCGCTGTGACTTACTTCATCGAAGAAGCAACGTCGCGATGTTTCAAACAAAAATTAACAGGACTTTTCTTCTTTTTATTTTTTGCGTTTTATAGTTCGACAATTTAAGAAATACAGGACTGGTCTTGTTGATCAAGCTTCTTGCTTTGTGATTTTATTTCTTTATACTCTTATCACCTAATGGCGCCGTCGCATTTGGCTGCAAACCACGTCCTCCGTTTTTTTTTTTTTTTTACTTGTCAGTGATATTGCTGCTGTGAACTTGCCTCCCGCTCGTCCGATTGGGGAATAAATCTTAATTTCTTCACGTGGTGCAGTAGGACCGTTCTGAAGACAACACATATCGTATTGCACCTAACCTACCTCTTTATTAAGCTTGAAAGCATAATCTTTTATAAAGCTGAGTTTGAAGACCTTCGTGTCGCTGAGTATAATTAACTTAACATTAGCGAGTATAAATAAAACAAAGAAACACGGCTACGCTTTTTAATCCCAGGACCTGATGTAGTACGCCAAATTCACGCCTTTGAGGATAAGTACATGGTTCCGCGTAGGTGTTCTGATATCGTAGACGTTGATTGGTACATACGGGGGGAATTTTGCTATGTACAGTTAAATTCATTTTTTCCCCTTTATTCTGGAGAGTCCACGCAGTTGCACTGTATTCTTGTAATGACAGCTGTAAGGTGTGGTACTTTGTGACGCCTTCTAGCATTCGGAGGCAGGTGGCAAGCTAAAATCCAGGAGCAACAATAGTGATACAGGGCCTAGTCGGTATTATGTACCTTCATTCGCACGACTTCGCGCCTGATCTTCTCATGCTTAGTTCTATAAGAGGCTGCATTAGAGTCGCTGAGTCGTTGACGACAGTTTAGGAACAGTCGGCGTTGTACGCACCTTGGGCTCGAGAGTGAGAGCCTCAAAGGGCACAAGAAGCCCTTCGTCGCCCTTTCCCACTTTGAGCTTGACGGGAAACAGGTTGCCTTCCTTCATGTTTGCTTCCACGGTGAAGTCCAGATACACGAAGACTTCCAGGACCAGAGTGTTGTCCATGCCGATGCCCGGTTGGCGCTGCAACAAAGTAGTTTATGTTTCAGACAGTCCTATGCTGGCCTCTCTTACCCTCTAAGCACAGAAAGGCTCAGTCTGCGAGATATAAAGGTTTTATGACGCCTACAAGTAACCTAGACACTAATAATATGGCACACGTTATCATCAAGAGAATTATACATCTCGGTGCATGATCTCTGCAATATACTACCATGGTACTACCATTGTGACTAAATGTTTAGGTAACAGCGTACTCGCAGTAATGTCTAAGCGTAGTTACGCGTGTTGCGGCAGCTACCTTTTGTTTCTTCCTTTGTATTTCTGATTCTGTAGATACGTATCTATCGGGAGCTAGAATTCAAACGGCTGCGATTAGCGAAGATTGGAATCTTTAGAAGAACCGGTTTAGCAGCGGCCCAATACTGTGATTCGCTTTCGCACTTCTGGCGCGGCATACCAAATTGCTTTAAATTTAAATATCTAAAAAACCCACAAAAATTTTGCAGCGCTGCTGCATGCCAAAATTATCCATGCCGCCAGTCACATGCGCGTAGCTCGGATAAATCTGAGCCTTGCATGACGAATAGAAAGTTAGAAGCTACGGAAATAAAATTCGCTTCTTTTTTCAACTTCCCTTCGTGGAAGAATTTCGCATGCTTCGAGTTTTGTCCATGAACCGTCTTCCTCTCGTGCTTTTCTTTTTTTAAATCACACTTATTTATAGCATATTGGAAGTAGCAGGTTCATGGTACCAGAGAGCGACATTGGGTGTGCCGACCTGCTGCGAGACGAAGACCCTCCCGAGGTCGACGACGTAGTAGCCGTCCTCGACGACCGCCTCGGCCGAAGAGATGTTCACCCAGGGCAGGTTGAAGCCGCTCGCCTCCAGGTCAAAGCGAGCCGAGCAGAGCTGGGCGGGGTTCTCCGGGTCCATCTCGGACATGAGCCGGATGGCCGTGAAGCCGCCGGGGGTCACGTTCAGGTGCACCGTGTACTTGAGCAGGCTGCCCACCGTCGCCTTGGACAGGTCGGTCATTGACTGCACGTCTTCCACGTTGTTGGTCTGCGCGCGACGATCGCACACAGGACGCCGACTGTGGATTTCGGGACGCCCCAAGGCGCGTATCACAGCTGCATTGACTAGGTAATATACTCATAATAGTTGGCATACCAAATTATCGAACGAGCTCCAGGTCTCAATCCTCAGGGTTATAATGTATGCAGGGTGTTTTGGAGTGAGTTCAGGATTTTTTGTAAGGGAAACTTGCGTTAAGGTTATTCTAGCCCTGGGGCCAAGTTGATGGTCATGACGGTCATTAAGAAAGAGGTAAGATCGGTTAACTAATTTGCTAATTAACTATAACAATTTATTTCACTTCTATTGTTTTAGGGCATGTGTTGGAACATTTGACGCCCTACTTCATTATGGTCTAGCCTTGCCGTGAAATTGATGGAATGAATGCGTAGTTGGTGCCATGGGACGAGAACTGTCACCCTTGTACATGGCTTCAGACCGAAACTAAGTGGGCAAAGGGCGCCCGTGACGTCAATCTCTCAGTCTTCCGGATGCTCCCCAAATAAAGCCGGCCGGGATAGCACAGGGGGATCGACATCGCTGACGCTTCTTTACTTGAAAGATTACGCACTTCACGGAAAAGCACGTATCCCGGCGTTGATTATGCAACGTCGGGAAAATAACAGGCAAACATAAAAACGAGAGTTAGAGAGCTTAATGTCATTGCCTTGATATATACTGTTTACATACAGAATCACGTGCACAGCGTTTAAATGATTGGTGGCTGACATATCCCACTCACCGGCTCGTCTGGATTGCTCGCCGTCAGGTTCACGTAGTGCGTCTCCTTGTATAAGACCTTGTTCGCCACGCTGATCTGAATGGTGTACGATTTAGTTTCTCCGATGTACTCCGGCTTGTTGAGGGCAAAAAGAGCATAGGTGAAGCTGATTTTGTTGTCGTCGTTCCTTGGCTTTTGGTATATAGAGCCTGAAATGAGAATGCCGGAGCATAAAGGCCGGTTCTCACATGCAGCGAAGCGCCGATGTAGCGCTGTTCACATGTCGGCAGCTACTTATCGTATGCCATGAGCAACAGTTTTGACGGCGCGATACAAAGCTTGTGAACGCTCCCGTCAGCACACGCTTAGTGCGAGGTCAGCGTTATGCTTGTAGCGCTCCGCTGCATGTGTGAACAGGCCTTAAGACTCTACGAAACGTTCTTGCTCGGGCTGGTCTTAATGACAGGCGACGCCATGATGCCACATAACAAAATTGAAAATTGTCACGTGACCTGACGTCGTGACCTGACGTTGTGACGTGAAGTCACAACGTCACAACACGTGCGTCACAAGATTTCCGTTATATTGAGCGAAGAAATATCTCCGTTAAATTCCGGTAGAAAGTGGTCTTTATTGAAAAATAAAACCTAAAATACTATCGCACATTTATTGCATTTGGCGGAAATTCGAAGCAAAGAGTTTTTTTATATGCTTGTCTTCGTTTACTTTTCGGGCTTGGAGCTTTTACTACGCTCAATTTCAGCATAAGTGTACAAACGGCGAAAGTTACTACCACGGTGAGCCAATAAGAGCGTCGAGGTCAAGTACGTGATGACCAGCGCTGGAGTTTGAAGTAGGCGCATGTGAACTCCAGAAGTGTAGACACTCGCATGCCTCTTGGTACCTTAAAAATCGGCGATCACAACCGACACATACTGCGGCCACCAGAAAGGTCGTGGTGCAGGAAACGGGTCCCTAGGGATATGTCCGCCGCTCATGAGTTCATTTTGTTGTGCGTCGAATTGTCGCAGCGGGATGTTTCTATTTTCATAAAACTGCATAATCCTAGTTTACTGCGTGTTTAGTTTTATAGGCATAAAAGAACCTATGCACCTGTGCTGGTGATGAGGCCCATGTCCATGTTGGCCGCGGTGAAGGTATTTTTGGTAGCTGATGCGGTGAGGACGCCCTTGTAGTGGTACACATCATTGGGCACGGCACGGTAGTTATCGCCGAAGCCTGAAACAAGCGAGAAAGCAATAGATCCGGCGTTTGTAATACGCCTACAACTTCTCGAGCCAAACTAGAAGAAATACTGTGCAGTACTTTGACCATACCTGACATAAATCATATCGTACGCACTTGGAATAGGTTGCTGCGCCGGTAAATATAAATCATCGGGGGTCACGTGGTCACGGTAAGGGGCGTTGCGTCACGAGACGTGACCCTAACGTACCACCAGAAAGTCCTCTGACGTCACTAATGGGAAGTTACATCTCATCCGTGGCCTTGCATTGAATTGGTGCATAACTATATGGCAGGGATGGGCAGTATTTCAAATACTTTGTGTATTTTGCACTAGTATTTATTTACAAATTGGGTAATGTATTTCACGTCTGTATTTAAATATTAAAACGTGGGTATTTAAAATACAATTTTAATTAAATACATAATTGTGGGCGAAAATACATCCCTCAAATTTATTGTCACGACTCATTTTGCTCATCCTAAGACTTGTCCAGAGCAGGAAGAAAACTACGTACTGCACCGAATGCAGTGTCTCTCAATCAAGCAAGAGCGTTTAGTTACTTTGTGATTACAGTGCTAGTCCAGGGCAAGGATAGTGACGAAATCGACGTTCACAGGCAGACTGGCTAAATAAGTGCCTGTGACAACTTGTGATGCTTTCCAGCCTGATTTCCATCAATATTTTTGCCTGGAACATTCTAAATGCGCGGGCCGCCCAGATTTTCGTAACTGGTTTGAATTGCAACAATAAAAAATTCTCTAGCTAGCGCTGCGCGTCTTGGTCGTCTCGGTTCTTTGTTGGTCTATACCAAAATGTAATCGACAAAAAAAGCTGCTTGAAGCTCTGTCCTTTTTTCACCTATTACGTCCAAGCTGACTACATTTCTTTGTGATTATATTTGTATTACGTTACTACAGCCTCACACACTAACTCCCGAATGTGCGATGCAAAATTAAAATGAGATATCCAGAAACCCGTTGCAGGTGCCCTGAAGTCGCTGACGCAAATTTTGAGGAATGTATTTGGAAAAGTATTTGGAGGAGACCAAATACATTTAGTTGTATTTGTATCTTGTACCTAAATGCGTTTTTGGAAACGTAATTACATTTGTAATTAAATACATTTTTGACGAAGTATTTTGTATTTGTATTTCGATACATATTTGCATGTATTTTGCCGATCCCTGCTATATGGTACCAACTCTTTGTGGGACGTTTTTGTTTGTCCCATGTGTTTATACTTTCGTTTCAATATTAACTTTTCGTAACGTTTTTTTTTCCTAACACTGTAAAATGCCTAGTCCTCGGCAATAACGCATCGTACCTTAAAATAAGAGTTGAGCCTGCTAGCCCCGGCCACTCCAAAGACAGAATAACAGGTAGCTGTCGACTGTTTATTTCCCGTTGTTCATAACACACATCGATGACTACACAAAAAGTGAATGAGTATGTACCCACTTGATTTTTTCGCGTAAGTGTACACTTACTGGACACTCCCAGGTTCCCTACGGCGATCACGTCCTCCAGGTCTGTGGGGCCGATGAGAGACACGGTGACCTTGTCGGAGCGAAGTTTCAGGAACATGTCCATTGTGAAGACACCAGCACTGTCGAGGGCAATCTCTCCCGGACCGATAACGTCCACCTCCAGCTTTTTCTCGTCTTCGTTCTGAGAAGTATCGAGAGTAGAATTCAAAGAGTGGCCCATAAAAGTGCATAAAGCCTTTGATTAAGGTAAACCCTCTTTTCTCTTCTTTTATTTGTTTTACAGGCATGAAAAATAAACCATGCCCGGTTCATTTCATTGGTCGAACGAAGAGCAAATTAAACGCATAACTAAGGTTGTTTCAAATTTCTACTCACGCATTTCTGTTCAGTCGAAGCTGGTTCACGGAGCACTATCGAATAATTAAGTTGAAATAACCACTTTGAAGTGGAGTTTGTAAAGGCATGAACGCATAAACATGCCAAAAAGTACTGTTCTAATTGTTTTTTTATTCTTTTTACGGAGCTGGTTTGGCACAATAAAGCTCGTCATTTTTGGAAGTAAAAAAGAACACCAATATCTGGAAATATGCCACTTATTACAAACGCAAAAGCTGATTTAACGTTCTTGTAGTATATATTGTGAACCTTGTAAGGAACAAGAGATACAGGAAACAGGGAGGATACATACGTTATGCCGCATATGTTGTGTACGTGCGTTAGATCTTGGTTTCTGTGAAGTGGAACGGTGCGTAAACCAATAAAACCCGGAATACAGAATACGGATTACGCCGTCGTTGGTGGATTTCTAACCTGTTCCAAACCGAAAAAAAACAACAAAAACCTTAAAGCTTGACCAGACAACATGGCGAAGAGGCAGAAGCTAGTTCGATCCCCATCCCTGCCCGTTTCCATCTGGATGAGCATCGCACCGGTGGGCGGTCGTGTCAAACCGATGGTTTTAACAGAGAAAAAAAAAATTCTCAATTCCTGGCGACTCTCGAGGTGTTAACTAGAAACGTTGTAACCTATCCAACACGAGACGCCAAATTTTGGAGGATGGTCCCTCATAAAACTAACTATGGTCTGCAAATGTTAAATTATACCACATTCACTTAACAGCTTTGTTAGTCAGGACATTCAAGTGGACTCGCTTACCATGAATGAGCTTCGAAATTACTAGTAACCGCACAGTGTAAATAGGTTTGTATGCTGATGTGTTCTGCCAGGTCTGTTTTCTGTATCAGCTACTTTTGTTTGTTTGTTTGTTTGAGCTGCTCTGTTCTGCCAATGTAGGGGGCCGGGGACCCGTCAAGCTGTCTTCACAGCTTTTTCCCCCGGCCTCCCGTTCATCAAGTAATGGAAAAATAAAGATTTATTATCATTATTATTACTACAACTGCTTCTTCTACTACTACTACTACTACTGTGTGGTGCGCGTTAAAAAAAACAAAAACAAAACACAGGTTAGCGGGTGTACCGCACTGGCTAAACTGCTCCTCTACAGGTGAGAGGCATGTCGCCCGTTGAGGCAGACTAAGTTCAGGTTGTATAAACATACACACACCAATTTACTTTATTACCGAAAGGCAGTATGCTGAGCGCGTTGTGAGACGATGCAAGAAACCCGTGCGGTGACTGGAGGGCGAGCTAGGTGGTATTGCATGAATCCTCTAATGATGGCGTGGGAGGAGAAAATGTGCACGCCATATCTGCTGGCAGTGTTTGTGGTAACGCGTCTTGTTTTATGTAACGTATTAATTAACGGACGTTACTTTTTACAAAAGTGTAACGCGCAACGTACTTAAGTTACTTATTTAGAGTATCGGGTGACGTAGATTGTTACGTTACTCTTTACATCTTCCCATAAACTGAAAAAAAAAATTTTTTTTGTATTTTGACGCCAAGTCATATGACTTCCTGCACTGATACCCCACACCTTCAAACGAAGGACCGTAAAAAAAAAAAGTAATTATGTTAAGTTTCCTCATTGGCATATTGCTTCTTGAAATATTGCGCTTATGCGTACCTGTAACGTAAAAACAAAGAGTAAAACGTTCTAATTCATAGATAGAAGGTAACGCAACAGCAACATGCTTTACTTATTATCAATAAATGTAAATAACGAGTTCCTTCTATTTTGAGATGACGTGCAGGTCGGAAATGCGTTCTATTTATTTGCCAGTAACGAATAACGTATTTCGTTACACTTTTTGCGAGAACGCCTACAACACTGTCTACTGGGAGGTGTTGATAAACGCCACTCACTGCCTTGGGCGGCGAGATGGTGACTTCGGTCTGCCCGACCCAGACGTAAGTCTCGAAGTCGAACTCGGCGCCGACGGTCACGTAGTGGGTCTTGGAGCTCGATCGAGTCCGGACTGCGGTCACGGAAAACCGGACCAGAATGACGCGGCTCGTGTCCGGGTTGACGATGTTGCCGAACTCGATGACCACGCGGTCGTACTGGAAAGGCAGAAGACGTGCGTGACCACAGCGAGTCTACAGAAATGGACGTTCTGAGCTTCGTCTGTTCTGCATAAGTTGAGAGTCGTCACGGACTTTTTATACACTTTTCAAAATGGCATCTTAGTACGCGGGGCAAACGCAACCTGATTTTTCTTAATGCTGGTCACGTAACAACGTGATTTTATATTTTGAGTCTTAACACCTAGCAATATTTAAAAAAACAAAAACAGAGAGAAACGCTTTAAAATATTATGGGGGGGGGGGGGGGGGGAGGATATTTTTTAGACAAAAACCTTTTACGAGAAAAAGGGGTCAGAGGTAAAAGATTAATCTTATTTGAGATAACGTCATCGGCCGGAGCTGACATCAGGGCGTTATTTTAACCTGATAAAAAATGAATAAATTAAAATTGAACGCCCAACTGCCTTAATTTTAATTGTATAAAGACAATTTCCGAGTACATGATTGTAGCCCATTGTAAAAATATGTAAGAAAAGTTACTATGTTTTAAATATTTAAACCTAATGTCACGTAACGTTGGAGTGAAATAATCCTTCCGATATTTTATGTAATGAATAAGAAATTTTCCTGCCGCACATGTTGTTTTAATTAAACCAATATATATAAAACCAGCTGAAGCTGGCGATGATCAATCTAAGTGAATAAACAAACAAGGGTGAGATCAGTCATGGCAGAACTTGCATATTTATGCGACCCATGCTCAATTTACTCTCTTTACACTGAGCGTATATACGAGAAAGTACTAACATTGAAACACTCATATTACTTATTGAACGAAGAGCGTGTTGGTGCGGGACAAGATTGAAGAAAGAATGAACATGTAGATTTAAGAGGATACAACCACACCTTTTAAAATTAAAGATATGGTTCCTTCGTCTTCATCCTACATGTTAATAGTGATATCATTTATAACTAATTTTTTATATGTAGTGGAATATTTATTTTATACAGCTCATCTCAATTCATCAAAGCTCCATGCGTTTATTGTGTGCACAATCAATTCAGCGTTTGTTGTCTTTACAGTCAAAGCAATGTCTAGCTTAATGGCACCCAATCTAGTATTCGCTGTCTTTACAGACAAAGCTATTCTTACCAAAGATAAGTGGTGAACGCAGTGTCCTTTTTCCCAGGAGGACATTACTCACGACATTCTTGACCCCGTCGCTGAGCATCATTTTCGGCACAGGCTCGCCCACGCTGAAGGTCATCTCGGGCGGCAGCTCGGTCTTGACGTTGAAGATGGCCAGCGGAGGAACGTAGTTCTCAGCGATCACGTCCTTGGTGAACATGTCCACCAGAAGGTCCAGTCTCTCGGTCGGAGGCACCGTGATGGTGAGCTCGTACTCGAGGACTCGACCGAGCTCCATGGAGCTCGGATCTCCGCTCACAATGGTCAGCTTGAAATCCGTCTTGTAATTCTCCGAGTCTGTCGACGCCGGCGGAGCCTGCTCCAGAGCCGGTTGGGCGTGTACCAAGCGACTTCGCTAAAGCCTCTCGACACAAGAATCGACCGGCTCAGGTATCTCGTGAAAGGCGATGAAGATGCGATAGGACTAATACGCAGTTCCTACCCGCACTACGCAGCGGAGGGGGAAGGGGAGAAGGAAGTGTTAGCATACCGCTGCCCCCTACCCCCTTCCGCGCGGTACAACGCCATTGGTCAGAACCGCGATGACGTCAAACCAACAGTTGCGTTCCCCTGCTGACACTCTTTCCCATCGCCTTGCTACGGTGCGACCAGCGCCAACACGAGCAAGCAAAAACAGTAAAAACTTCTCGTAAAAAAAAAAACAATAAAAAACCTGGATTTGGAATTGGAATTACAGGAACTGAAAGAATATCTGCCATGTCAAACAATCAACTTTCTGTGACAATGCAGCCAGTGCTGTAGGAGAGGGTGCGCCCGCTGCTTTGACTGCGCCTTTCTTTTTTTCTGATGGTCACAGAAAGCTGTCCCCGAGTGTGGAACACGCCGTCGCGAAGATAATCGACACAGCACGACGAGCATCGTTTGATCGTTCTCGTCTTTGTGGCTCTTTAGTATGGGACTATGAGCCGTCTTGAGCTTCACCCAAAAGACATTCGTTCTCTTTCTAAAACTGTTAGCACAGAGTTCATTCTTAAAGGTCGACCTACAAAACCATTTTCCGGAGGGTGGGAAAATCCTTCCCGCCATCCTTCCCCTTTCTCCTGTCCCACTGCTATATTGGCGGCGGTGGGTTCCTTCTGTCGCTATATCTTGAGGCTGGATGAGCTAGGCGCTTATCCAGCCCCAAGATTCAGCGACAAAAGAAACCCACGGCCGTCAATACAGCACTGGGAGAGGAGAAATCGGAAGGGTAACGAGGGAGACTTTCTTACCCTGCAGAAAACCTTTTTGTAGGTCCAAACCAGCCTCCGACATCAACGGTGACGCTTTCCTGCTGCCGAAGCCCGGAAGGAAGGTTAAGAATATTGAAATGTCCCGGCGCACGAGGAGGCCGGATTTTCACAGTAGCCAATCAGGGTAAGACAATCCACCCTCCTTGCACTTCTCGCAAATCTCGCATGGGAGCGCAGGGGGGGGGGGGGGGGGGAGGGGGGGGGAGGGTGCGCTTATCACTACTCGGGAACCCTATACAAGGACAAATCGGGGCGTAAGAAGCAGTTGCTTTAGTTGTATTCGCTCCCTTGAAGTAACTCAAAAGTCCCACAGAGGGGGCCTTTTCTCTCGCTCCCGTCTGTGGAAACTAATGTGCGCTTTTCCCTTTACTGCTCAACAGGCGAACAGTCAGATTTATTTAGGATAAATTTAAACGATCCGACTCTTCCTGCTCACTAATGCAAATAAACCAAATTGATTTGTTACAGGACAGAAGAAAAAAGGCTAGGCGGAAGTTTTTGTATATTCTTGCAAATGATAGGGGGGGGGGGGGGGGGGCTTTCTATTAACCGGCACTCATACCTACAAACCGTTACTACGAGACATACCAGACATTATCCGGCACACTTACTGGCACCTTACTTTGCTCGCACCAATCTTTTTAAATTTTCTTCTTTCCCCAGGACAAGTAGTGACTGGAATTCTCTTCCCCCTCAGTTAACCGTTTCCTCCCAGTTCAGGACTTCATAGGACCTCAGTGCTACATTTCCTTCTGCTGCTGGTGGCTTTTTATGCTCTGTATAATACTTCTGCATTTGTACTTTCTGTTGAAGGTATTGCTTGCATATTGTCATGTACGGTGTGTGATTCACTTTCTTATTCACTCCTGCTTGAACCATCTTGGTCTGCAGTATGTTATAAATAAAGAATAATAACACCCTCCACCCTGTCCGCCCGTCGCCGGTGGGCTGGCTAGAAGTCTCGTCCACACACCTCCGTACACATTCAATTCCTTCCGGCCTGCTGAAGTTATGTATATATATATACCAGTCGACAACTCCTCCCGCAAGATTATTATTCTCCCATGACCGAAAGTACGGGTCTATATATAAAAAAAAAGCATTTTCTCACCTCCCGTTTGGTACGATTGTACCGACGACCAGCTCTGATGTCATCTGCAGTGATCACTTGACCATGGTCGTCGTGCTGCTCTGCAGAGTCTAAGTAGAAGGTCACCTGCGCGGGGAACGAATAGTGAAACAGTAGCTCTTGCGTACTCTAAAAAAAAAAAATAAATAAATAAAATAAATAAACGATCAAACAGTGGGGGCACCTGAGTTGTAGAGTCTGGCTCTGTGCCGTTCTCAAAGGCTTCGGGGCTCCAGGCACCAAGGGTAACCGGGAAGGAGACCCCTTCAATCAGATGGTCGGGATCATCGAGCACGACGCGTCCTGTCACGTTGTCCACCGAGAACAGCGCGTAGTGGTTTCCGGAAACGACGGCGTAGCGTATCTGAGCGCAGTCGCAGGGCTCGCGGCCGTCGCACGTGGTCTCGAGGTCCCGGTCGAGGGCTCGGGCCTGGTACACGGGCCGGGAAGACCCGGGCTCGCTCACGCCGACCACGTCAGAGCGGCTGGGGAAGGACGGCGGGAACAGGTCGACTGGAAGAAGCCGTCCCTCATATTGAGGGAGTAGGTTGAACATTGCACGCATCTTAGGCGTTTAAGTTACCGACTTATTGCGGCGACGGCCTCGGGGTAGATGCGCAACTGTTAAGAAAGACGCTGGGATTTGAGGCCATTAGCTGAATTAACGCAATTTACGGGAAGGTGCGTTTAAGACACCTGTATGAATCAGTGCCCGCTCCGCATGCGTATCATTGGGAGTTATGGTTGAGTTTTGGGCTAGTTTGCAAGTATGTCAAACTAAGAAAAGGGCAAGCATATAAGCAGTGCATACTATAAAGCAATCCTCCACCAAGTTGCGCTGCTAGCCCAAGAACTATAGATACGATGCCTAATTTTATAAAATACATATAGCTTCAGAACTCAGATACATTAATCGCGTACTTCAGATGATAAGATTCGTACACGAAAATTGAAACAATGGTTTGATCTACTTGCCGAACTCATCGCAAGAATCTCCTTCCCAGCAGGGCTGGCACGTGCAGCGACCCTGACCGTCGCAGGCACCGTGGATACAGGGCACAGTTCTGTGAAGTAGGAACAAGATCTGTAGGTATATACGTATACGGGTATTCCCTGGGCGTCATATTTCAATGCACTCTTCACCGTGCATGAGTGAGTGAGTGAAAAATGTATTTAATAAATAAATGTATACACCACGATCTTTTGATAAAGTATGCTCAGAATATGTGGAGGGCAAGTTCGTCTACTTCTTGCGCAGGGGGTAGCGGTGACGTCAGACCGCCGAGCCCTGATTGGCTGATCGCGACCCTCTCTCTGAGCGTCGTCTGCTCCTTTGCAACGTCGTCTGCTCGCAACGTCGTCTGCGTCTCTCTTACCTTTCCTGCGACTTTCAGAAGTGCAGGTCTTTACAAGCAAGCTCGACTTCGCCTTTCAGAGAGGGCAGACGAAATAACTCGAGCGGTACGTTGTTTTTGTGTAACAATTAGCAGACGACCATCAAGGAGAGAAGTCGAAGGACTCACTGGCGAGGTGTCCCGAGGCGCCAAGGTTTTTTTGCTAAGACCAAGAGTGAGGGTGGTTAGTGTCCGCAAGTTCCCTCCCAAATACTTTTTCCCTCCTTTCATGGGCGGCGAGACTCCTCACTCTTTAACGGCGTCGGCGGGTTGGCGCGGTTGGCGCAGTTAGCGTCGTCTGCTTTACGTCTGTTAGTCAAAGCGATGGCTGCTTTACCTTTCCTGCGTCTGTCAGAGATTCACCGCTTTTTCACCGGCGAGAACGCGGCCTTCGAAAGAGGCGAAAGGACATACCTTGAAGGATACGTCCTTTCTTTTGAGATGAAGGATTTCCCTCTAGTTGCGAATGTCCAGGCGTCGTTTAAGAATTGTAGCTACGCGGTAAAGATGACGCTGTCCGATAAAGGTGACATTTTAGAGAGTCACTGTGAGTGCCCTCGGGGGCCGCAAAGTGCAGCCACATAATGGCTACCGCACTTTACGCGCCTCTAAATGGACTGTCCAAGACGGACCTTCCACAGTAGTGGCTGCAACGCCCCAAGAGTAATATGCCGCGGCAGGTCGCTCGCTCAGGTAAGAAGTAAACACCATGTTCATCGCTGTGTTAAAACGTTTAGTTGCACAAGTTTCGTGAATGATGCCTCGCGTTTAATGAGTTGTTCAAAGATAATCAGCTAAAGACAGATGACAGCCGATGTAGTGACTGCAAATAAACAAATGCGGCTGTGCGATCGGTACTTTGAGCACATCATAGACCAAAAGTGCTCGATCGCTGCTTTTGCCACAACTTTCTCGCTCGACTAAAAGGCTGTTGTCAGTTAGCGTATTATGGTATGTGTGTGTGGCGGAAACCCAAGTGGGAAAAGTTTGAAAACCTGTGCTAATCCGTGGAAGAGAATCCGAGCAAGATCGATCGAGCTACCCGATCGGCGTCGAGCGTATCGCGGAAGTTATGCCGTAGACCCGTTGACAGCAAGAAGGAATTATTGTTACAATGGAATAAAATGCAAAGGTGCAAGCGAGCTGGACAAGAATTACGAAAATAATCCCTGGAGAAGGGGAACAAGAGGAACAAAGGACAAACAAATCTTTTTCGAAGGCCGCTTTCTCGCCGATGAAAAAGCGGTGGATCTCCGACAGTCGCAGGAAAGGTAGACAAAACAACGTACTGCTCGAGTTATTTCGTCTGCCCTCTCTGAAAGGCGAAGTCGAGCTCGCTCGTAAAGACCTGCACTTCCGAAAATCGCAGGAAAGGAAGACAGACGCAGACGACGTTGCAAAGGAGCAGACGACGCTCAGATAGGGGGTCGCGATCAGCCAATCATGGGCTCGGCGTTCTGACGTCACCGCTACCCCCCTGCGCGAGAAGCAGCTTGCCCTCCGCATAAATTCCGAAGACCGGCAATCATGATGGTAAGGAATGCACGTTGCAGAAGCATTGTGGTAGGTCGCCGTCAGCACGTACTGGGTAGCTACGCATTCAGCTACGACCGCTAGCGAACGCCGCCTCTAAGAACAGACAGTTATCTGCCTAATCTAAGCCCCCATAATAACCATCTGAACACTGCTTGGCCGCATCAAACTAAAAGACCCACGTGACCAGCCAGTCCGGATACTCCGACGCTGCCGCGATGCCTCGCGGAAACCTTGCCCTTCTGCACGGTGCGGCAACCCAGAACCTGCGCACTATAAGTTTGACGTCATCACAGTGAGCTCGAGCGAAGACACTGATTGGTCACGAGTGCTGCGTCAGTGCTCGGCTGGGCCTCGTGTCCAATCAAAGCGTCGATGGAAGCTCGGCGTCCGGCTTGGGTCCAATTCCCGAGTATGCCGCCATCCGACTGTGCAATGACGTTCCACGGAGGTAGAGTGCAGCGGCCGGAGACTTTCATAATTCTAGATGGTGTTGGAGAACCTCGCTGCTGCTCTGGGCGTACGCGTGCTCTGTCACATTGCCCCTGTGAACTAAAGCTATGGCGGCGCCAAGCTTGCGCCGCCCACCCTTTGACGATATCGGTATATTACTTGATTTCAATTTACCCTGCCGTTCTTAACTGGTGATGCGGTGTCATATATGAAGCTTTGAGAACGACCGACATTATACTATGGAAGAATGCTCAGAAAGTTGAATCATAAAAGAAAGCCGTGGCCCGCCAATTTAATTTGTATTTCCGCTTCCAGTCGACGTCTTTCGTTGCCAAATCTGCTTTAGATTTAACTTACAGTCGGAGTAGCCAGTATCGGTCAAGGGAACTATAGCCTTTACAACCCCCAGGTATTTAGAGATCGTGAATTGTAATATCTTCTAAAACTTATCATCCCCCAAAAAGTAGAAAAAAAAAGGTCATAAACCAAGAAGAAGAGTTTCTTACATATGACAATCTTCCTCGAAGCAGCCGTCCATAATTCTCGTGCACGATGTTACTTCAGAGGGTCCTAGAAGTCACGCAGAAGACGCATCGAATAAACACCAGGATATCGGGCTAGAACAGGGGTGGCCAAGCTGCGGCTCTTCGCGTGTTAAAGTGTGGTTCGCGGCCTCCTGCCCTACCCCCCCCCCCCCCCCTTTCCACACATTCCCACGCCTCCCTCCAGGTCACACGAGCACTTCCTCAAAAAGAGAAATAGAATGCGTTTTAAATCGAAATACGGGTTTCGGTTTGGTAGTCTTGTGCTACTGCTACGTTACGTACAGTTGAACTGCTTTGGACTCGGACAGATTGAAAGTAGTTCATTGCTCTCGACAAAAAGTAGCCCCCCCCCCACCATCTGCGGCTCTTGGAAGTCTTGTGGTTTTGTTTGCGGCTCTTAGGCCGGGTCAGCCTGGCCACCCCTGTGCTAGAACATACGTCGATTTTTGTTTGCATCAAACCAACAGGGGCTCACTATACTTACGAAGCGAGTCTCGCTTTGTTTGCGTTAAGGGAACCTTTTACTGAATCCCGGTTCTATATAAGTACGAAGATAATAGCTTGAGATGCTCACCCAAATCGATTTATTTCGAATAACACTGTTGACTGCATGAGGATATGCGGTTTGAGCCCGAATAAAATTCAAAAGTTCCAAACCGCCAAATCGGAAACTCGCAAATCTTATGCTTCGTCATAATCTTAGGCTTTTAAAAGCTTTGGTACATCTGACACCCAGGGAGAGCTTTGATTTTTGGAACGTCGCTCGACAATTTCCGAAATACCCTGATACAAAAGCAAAACACGTTGTATAAATACCCGTATTTGGCTTCATAAAAAAGAAATCTGTTTTCGTATTTTTATAAGCAGTCGTTGGTTCAGTGGATCAGCCGATATGAACATGATAAACCGGTGTTCAAAGAAACATGCTCTGTATCCCCACAGTATCATGTTGCGTGCGCATGGTCATTCGAGAGGCACGGGAAGCCGTCGTGGCGAAACCAATCACGAATGCGTCACCGTGAAATAAGATGCCATAGGGCAAAATATTCGTTTACTTGGTATCGTGTTCGGATGTGAAGGTAAAGGTACGAGTCATCATAAGCCTAAGCCCACGACGCATCGTTTTTGCTTCACCGTTTCTGCAAATTGTTGGGGAAGTCCATTTAAATATGATGTTTAAACTAAAGCCCACTGATAAAATTCAGGCTTTACACTCCTCATAAGTCTCGACAGTCACTGGAGTGAAGGATGCCAAAGTTCCATGGAACCGAGTTTTGTGCGTCGGTACACACATCGATTCATTAGTTCTCGGACGGTGACCAAAAGTTCATCGTGCGGTACGGAGGAAAAAATTTCTTCAGCGTCCACAGAGAACGGGTTGTTTGTTCCGGTGAGGTCCTTCCCCAATACCTCTACAAGGCAAGCGGACCTTTTCACCTTGTAAGAGTCCCCAGGAACTAGGCAACTCAGGTGCAGTTGTAGAAAGCTGCTCATCTCAGCTTTCCAGCTGGCTCTCTCGGTGAATAATCGCTGCGGTGTATTACTCTGCCGAGAGGAATTCACTGCGCGCGGTAGCGTGGTTTACTTATATTCAAGAGTCTATGACGTTCATTTCCTAGAGGTGCCTTTTTATGCTTCACTTAGGTGCAGCGCATACTCTGTGGTCTGTCTCCAACCTCGCAAACAACTGCAGTGCTGACGAAAGCACGGCCGCAAGCGCGTGACCTTTTAAAGTGCCTTTTATGCACGAAATCACGTACAAACAAGAGCATTCGGCAGATCGAGGCTAACACGAATGTAGCTCGAAAAAACGGCAGCTTGGGCGAGTTGGTCATCCATGTCTCAAACTAACAGCGCAGGTAAGGAGTTACACACAAACACACGTCACTACCAGCCACAAAAACGATCCCACTTAGTGACGCAATCACGGCAGAAAAAACACTCACACAGCGCTGATTCACAACTCCATCTACATTTGCACTTCCTTTTTTTTTTCGATACATCTGTGAACATTTTCGATATATTTGTGAAAACTGGCTTCTTTTTCTTCAACGGTCCACGAAATGATGAATGTGTGCGTCTATTCTATAGTAAAATATAAGCTAATTCTTTTCCCGATAAAGTGAGCGATGGAGTGTTAACACATTTATCGTCATACCTGGCAATCTGCATTGCTTCCACTATCTCTCTAGTCAGTTGGCTACCGCTTCTGCCCAGCACGGTACACCTATCTACATATAGATCTATATACATATCTATATATATCTATATATATATACATCTATATATCAATAAATATTATAGATGTGCCACGCATCCGAAATCACGGCAATTTAGACCTAAATGTCCTGAGTTGACTCTAGTTATATTGTTGTTGTGCTCACGGAGTCGATAGTTTAAACAACTCCCAGTCTGGCCGATACATCGTCTCCCACGGAAGAGGGGAAAGGAATATACTACCCATTCTGTGCACAAAACAAAATTAGCCTGGTTCTTTTTTTTTTTTTTCAGCTCGCTGAATGTTGTGAAGGAATGTTCACTTTCATGCATAATCTGCAAAGCTTGTTTGTGCATGACTTTGTACTAGATGCATGCTCATATTGTACAATTGAAAACGAGCGTGTTGGTTAATAGATACAAAACTTGAAAGTATAAAACAGCGAGGACGAGGACATGAAAGATGTCCTGTTCCCGTCCTCGTTCTCGCTGTATTATACTTTAAAGTTTTGTATCATATTGTAAAATCTTCATTCACTCATGTGGCGAGTAGGCGCAACTAAAGGAATCGCAGTAATGTCTGCTCCTTTTTATAATTTTACTCATCTAACGAAATTCACGCAAGCCGTAGTGGGGAGCTCCCTCGGTGAACATGAGACTATACACAGAGTTATTGGAGCACTAAAATAATCTAATAAGCGAGTTGGTTAAAAAAAATTATACACAATACACACTGCAGCGCAAAGGACAAGAACCAGTGAAAGACGTAAACAGGACAAGCGTTGAACTCATAACTGACGTTTAATGAAAAGGTTGTGAAGGAGAAGAAAGATGTTACGGGTATTTTCAAAGTAATGGGAGCTGTGTCGAAGTAACTACATAATTAGTCTCTGACGTGTTGTTAATTTTAAAACTGATACATATTATTAATCACTTATTCTCGTGAGTATAATGATTAACCTAAATTACAGGAGAAATTCAAAGTTTATGCGTAAGAGAATCTAGGTGATAACGGTAGAGGAACTCTCTGCTTGCAGAGCCAGAGTATCGCGTTCCTTTTCCTTTCGCCGCCAACTCCGTATTGGCGGAGAAGCGCCAATACGGAGAAGCGCCCATACGCAACCTGGACAGTGACCCAAGGCAATCCCCCAGGCCATCACACACCAGAATATGCAGAGTGCAAGGCTGTCCTGCAGGCCATTGAAGGGGCTGCACCCTACTTAGGAACTGACCAGCAGCTAGTTTTCTATACAGACTCCCAAGAAGGGGTTATAGAACTTAGGCAACAGAAGTACTCTGCAAGTCCCACCATAAAAGCTATCTTTGACTCCGCAATCCGACTATACCGGAACAAGGGGGCCAGGATCAGCGTAAGGTGGGTCCCCGGTCATGAGGGAATACCCGGCAACGAGCTTGCACACGAAGCCGCGCAGCAGGCGATGAGAAACCTCACGCAACCGTCCCTGCAGCCCCGGCCTTCGGACGTCAGGCCGTCACACCCGCAACCGAGCGATCGCAACAACAATCCTCATGAGGGCCAGGATACATACGACCCCGTTGAAGAACTGCGCCTAGACCAACGAACAAGGAAACGCCTCCTAGGAAGTTCCCGGTTCCCCAAAGGAACAGCCTTACTCCAAAGAACACATTTCGAAGAAAAGAAATGGTGCTGCTACGGCGCATTCGCATTGGCGGAGCGGGGACTCCTAACCTCCAATACAAATTCGAACTTTGTGCCCTCAAGAAAGAACACCCTTACGCAGCACCACCTGACTCCCGGTGCAAACTTTACAGGGAGGAGGACTCGCGCCCCAGTTTGCACAACATACTCTGGGACTGCGAAGTCCCAGAGTATGTATTCGACTGTATTCGGGCAACACGGTGAAAACGGAGCTAAATGGTGCCAAATCAGAAGAAGTGACGGTGACAAGGGGTCGCCGACAAGGCTGTCCGCTTTCACCGCTCTTGTACATCCTCTATGTGTCGGGACTGGAGAGGCGCCTGGTTCAGTCTGGAATCGGGTTCTCATTGGTGCATTTAGAGGAAGGCGAGGAGGTAAATTGGGTACTGCCGGGTCTTACATTTGCGGACGACATTGTACTGATGGCGGAGACTGCAGAAGACTTACAGAAACTTTTATACATTTTCGATGAGGAGGCGGATGCGCGAGGCCTTCGCTTTAACAACAAAAAGTCGGCAGTGATGCAGCTGGTTGGACCTCAAGAGCCTAATATAGGTAACTGCGTGCTGAATGGCGAAAAAATCCCCGAGCAAGACACTTACAAGTACCTCGGTATTACACTCACCAATAAGCAAGAGTACTTGGCCGAGCACCATCTACATCTCCGACAGACAGCTATACGAGGCACCAACGTTCTTCGCAAACGAAACTTATGGAGCTGCAACCGGTTTGTTGTTACACGAGAACCGAAAGCGGCCATAATACCGGGACAGACTTTTGCCAACGCTGTTATCTGCGTACCCGGGGATGTGTGGGAGATCTTGGAGCGCCGTCAGCGAGACGTCGGGAGGCAGGCCGTAGGATGCCATGGTATGGTGGCCAACGAGGCTGTCCAAGGAGACCTCGGGTGGTCATCCTTCGAAGCCAGAGAAGCGACGAGCAAGATCGGCTACATCGGGCGGCTGCGATTCATGGACCGAAATCGGTGGGCAAAGCGACTCTTCGTATACATCCACCTTGCAAGTATACAGACAAGATGGAGGAAGCGGCTATACCAACTGGAAAAAAAATTTGGTTTCTTCACAGTGCCCGTGAGTGCCACTACAGACACAAAGTGGGAAACGGAGGTGCGGAAGAGAGTGCGTGAGGAGGAGGCCCTTCAGTGGGCAAAGGCGGCCAAGAGCAAGTCAACGCTACGGGTGTACAACCTCAGCAAAAGTACAATATCAGCGGAGGCTCAGTTATACGATAACAGCCTGGGCAGCCGCTTGCTTTTTGAGGCACGTACAGGAGGGCTGAGAACACTAGTGTACGAACAGAAATATAATCGGATGGTGAAAACAACAACATGCCGGGCTTGTGGAGAAGCGGATGAAACCATCGAACACATCGTCCTCTCATGCACAAGCCTGCAACCAAGCCATCCGGTGCACTGGTATTACGCTCCTGAAAACGTACAGACACCTGGCCAGCCCCTTCCACAAGCCCAATTGCTGGCGGAAGCACTCGGCTTCCAATCACCTGCGACGGGGTCAGCGCTGAACGCGTTTCTAGATAGAGATGCTGCTGCTTTCCCTTGAAGTCAGGTTGAAACGCGCGCCGCAGCGTCCACGAAGCCGATTGGACGGAGGTGGAAAGTGATTGGAAGAACGAAAAGCAGACTGGAGGACTGGTGGCGAAGGACAAAAGCAAATTGAATGCGAAGGACAAGGAGAAAGTGAAAGAAATAAGTGTTTTTTTGTTTTGTTTAATATATATATTTTTTTTTGGCTAGGTACGAACGTGGTTCGGAACCGCCCGATACAAAGGGAACAGCTGCAAGATCATCATCATCATCATCATCATCACCGAGAGGTGCTTTGCGCTACCAGATCTTCGCGCTTCAAATCGGCGACCGGGCACTCTACGGCTCCGTCATCGAACTGCCAGGCTTTGTGAGTATAGAGGAGGCTATGATACAGCATTGTCGTGTTGTTTTATAATGCAAGTGATGTTTTAAGCCATGTTTTCAAAGTTTGGGAAGACGAGGACACGGAGGACGATCGCGTAGCTCACGGATCTAGAGCTCTTGCAGAAGCGACGGTCGCTTCGTGCCGTGCGACCTTGGACCCAACATGGCCGCCCTGGAAGCGCATTGTGGTACTCTGCTCCGAAAGGCGGAGCATATAGAGTTACTCTAGGTAGGATTGCGTTACGTGGAGGACTTAGCCCGTCTGTTCGGTGACGTACGCGCCACATCGACGAGGACACTCCAGAGCGAGCCTCCCTTCTTCCATCGGAACCTGCACAACAGCGGCTACATCCTTTTGCGCGTCGACAGCGCGCACCCTAAACCGGTCCTCACCTCGTCGTGGCACGTGGCGAAAAGACACTGCGAGTTAACGGCCGTTACACGGTTGTGTCCGTCGTCCGCCTTAAGCCGGCATTTGTAGACAGCGATGCGATCGCTGAACCGGCTAATTCTCCTTCCATACAGGCTACCACATGGCTCACAGCAGCTCCCGCGACCCCGAACCCATGCCCCAAGACGGTTCGCTGGGCCGACTCCGTTCCCAAGATTGAAGGTTTGTGGAGATAGCCACTGAAGGAGGAAGGAGATCGCGTGATATTAAAAAGCACGACCAGTTCCATCTCGGAATTCCCAAGGGGGATCGGTGGCCGAGTGGGCTTGCGCACACCAGCTCGGAGCACGTGGAGCGAAAGCTCGCGCTGCAGAACCCAGGGATCCTGGGTTCAATCCCCACCCCTGCCCGTTTCGATCTGGATGAGCATCGTACCGGCGCGTGCTGTCGTGTATCACTACTGCGTGATGCACGTTAAAGACCCCAGGCTAGCGGTTGTACTGCACTGGCTAAATTGCTCATCTAGAGCTGGGAGACTCGTCGCCCCTGAGAGGCAGACCAAGTTCTAGGCTGTATAAACATACCACACAACCCAATTTTTTTTTTTCGGAATTCCCAAGTGACGGCCGCCTTATGTCTGTCACCCCACATACTGAACGGGGCACCGCTCGGAGACAGCTCTCTGGGACAACGAAGCAAGCTGTTGCCGCTGAGTGCAAATTTCCCTCAGGCGCCGATCAAGGCCACGCACCGTATTCACTTCTTCCTACTTATCAAGGCCATGCACCGCATTCACTTTTTCTGAATTCCCACTCAAAGTTCTCCCCGAGCATAGTGCGCTGACACACCATCAAAAAATAGCACCAAGCGAAAGCTAAATAGGGGTTATTTCATGCAGAAGAGGCGCCGGCAAAAGCGCAAAAAGGCATGTCCGATTGGCTTTGCGTCTTTTGCCAAGCCAGAGCGGTGGCGCCATCTAGATTCGTAAATATTTTGAATCGGAAGAACTTTGATCGGTAGAGGCGTTGATCGCTTACGCAGAAGAAAAAGAAGGCAGCAGCCGCACCAGCCGTGGGGAGGCTGATGTCCATCTGCGGGTGGTCGATAGAAACATCGAGCGACGAGGTGCCCTCTCCGAACGGCTCGATGGCCAAAATTACCAAGTCACTCAGCAAACCAGGCAAGCGAAATCCTTCTAGCCGAAAAAAACGAACCCCCAAAGCGACGTTGTCTACTACGTCTTCGTCACGACCGAAGAGAACTCCGAAACGACGACGCACTGTCGGGAACGGACCCAAGGGGACAAAACAGGCCAAGAGCACCAAAAGGAACAAATCGTCCAGGGCCTCGACGCGTACCAAAGCGGGTGCCAGGGTTAAGCCGAAGCCAGGGACATCAAAGAACGTGCGGTTCACCGCCCGCCAGCGCGGCAAACGTAAAGGGAAGGCGGGCGCCTGTGGCTGTCCCCCAAAGTAAGCGACGTTTGACAGAATTAGATATCACGCAATCTCTGTTTTTAGATGTTCCTGCCCTTGTACACTGCGTTTCACCTTATGCTGCACCGCAGCGAAGGCTAGAAGCGCGAGCTCATAGCGTTGGCACCTGCCCTTAATGCACGAGAGCTTGTGCCGCAGAGATGTGCCCCAGAGCAAGGAGCTCGCTCTTGTAGCCTTTCCTGCGGTACGCCAAAAGGTGAAATAGGGTATACATATGTTATTACGTGATATTTGTTATGCTGTTTACGTCTCTGTTCACATACATGGTTTCAAGGGATGTGACATCAACGGCCATTGTCGATAATCTTGCCGATGCATTACATCCTGCAGCGTATATTTCGCACCAACGAATTTGCCGCCTCTTTTTCTTCAAAAATAAGTAGGAATGACAAATGACAAACTGCAATGATGTTGCGCGCTAACTATGCATTCGTTCAATGACGGATTGTGAGTATCATAAAAAAAATGCGTAAAAGAGTGTTCTTGGTGACAACCTATTTGCAAGTAACATGTAAAGTGATATGTGCTTAGTCACTCAACAATAGGTGGAATTTACTGAGCGCCATTTTTGAGCGCGGATTTTTGAGCGCATGCTCACAACGAGATTCCACTTACTTTCTTAGAAGATCTACACAATCTTGATGGCGTGAAGTGCTTCTCGCAGTGTTGTGGAAGCTCATCGTAAGCTCGCACTCAGCAGCAACTAACTTGACTATGGCCGCCAGTGAATACTACCTATTGCTACTGACGCGGTGAAGTCTTACAGCAATATAGATAGAACTAATTCCCTTTAGAATGTGTACAAGAATGCATTAATGACGTTCTAAAAACTCAAGCTTCTCAATCCTGGATTACGTAATTGCGCTCCAAGCTTTACGAGCGGTAAAGGACACTTTATTACTTTTTCTGCAAATGATTATATAAAACCCGAGAGGCCGAAGTTGGGGCTACCCTACAATCTTTACCTCCGTGCTCAACGACGTCCTCCGCCGAAATCGTCACCATAATGTCTGCTCTAAATAAAAGCGAGAAGGTTTTTGATTTTTTTTTTTTTTTGTTGTTAGAAAGGTTAATATGTCGGCATAAAGGGGTTGGATTATTTTCTAATGTTGAGAGTATATATTGTGGAACAAAGTAGAAACTTAAAAATAAAACTGACAGGGATTAAGCAGAAAAAAAAACAAAAAAAACGTCACTGTAAATATTGCTACAATGAAACATCAGTACGCTTAACAACGGATATGAGGTGGGCTATCCTAAGACATGACAATTCAACTATAGGACCGCGCGTAAGGCAAATTTAAACGTATCTTTTTCTCTTTTCCCGTCGAAGCTGCGGCTGCCAGAAATAACGGAGTCTCCAACGCACCGGGCACGTCTTCGGTGGCTGCCACACCGACGACGACGACTCCACAGCAGAGCAGAAGCAGCAGCATCGGTGCCCCACCAATGGCGGAGACCGCAGACCCCTGGACGGCGCACATCTTCGCAAAGTCCCGGGGGTGCGAATGGCAGTGGTGTACTCGAGTCCAGGGTCCGCGGACTCGTCGCCAGGGTGACGGCCTGTGGTTCGCCGCCGTGGCTCGCTCGGTTCCCGTTCAGCGGTCATGTGCGACGCGCCGTGCCTCGAATTCGCTGTCCACAGAAAACAAAATGCGCGTCGCTGCCTGATCGAAAAAGGTACACCTGCGTCACGACAGTTGGCCGCGGAAAAGGCCAACTGAAACACGGAGCAACTATTGGCTGCACGTCGCTCCGCGTTCTGCGCATCTTGAGTGCGGAACCTTGAACTTCGCTGAAGACTCGCGAGGTTACGGCGTAATTATCGACGATGCAGAACAGGCGTCGACGACTTTCGTGGGGCTTTTTTTTTTTTAGACAAGTCGTCGAAACCATTGCCTGTGCATGGGCAAAGAGTGTTTCTAAATCCCTGTCAAACATTGGGATGTCGGCCATGTCTGCTTTTAATTATACTAAACTAAAATTTGCCGTGCCAAAAACGTGCGCAGCTTAAAATTTTTTTACTTTTTTTTTAACTTTTTTTTTACTTGTGTACCAGATGTGAACATAGCCTCTTTATGCTTAACACGACGTGCTCCGCAATATGTTTCATGCACACACCCTGCTAGAACATAGGCTATGGGTGAAGCAACTTGATCGATCGATTCTCTTGTCAGATCGGATATCTCTTTTCTTTCTTTAGAGGGAAGTAGACGCGGGGAAATATAAACCTGAAATAAAGTCAGCTGTCAAGTGCAACTGTCCAAGAAGTGCGCTCCAGAAGTATCTCAATGTACGCTTTCTCGCAAACTCTGTGGAGGGCCAATCGTCACGTTCTACGCAACACGTCCAACAAATGGCAAAGCCCAATTAGCGGCTTGACTCGAAAACGCGAAGTGCGCTGTTCCAGCGCACTTCGACAACAGCGCACCTCGTCAGGCATGGGGTGTCTCTAGCCATGGCACCCAACACATTTTTCTTGAATGAATTGTCTCGGATGAATGATTGAAGAAACGAAAGCGTTATTTAATTCTTGTCATTCGGTGGACGGGCTACGCTAGTGTGCCTCAATGCCCTTCTGTTTAGAGTGATGCCATCGTTTGTAGTACCCGATGCCGACAGCACGCGCCCACAGGGAAAATACAAAGAAATCGCAGGAAACAAAATGTTGCCGTAACACAGTCAGCGCCACGAGCGCGTGCAGGGACACGCCCTTTCACGCGCTTCAGAACAAAAAATAAAAATAAGCGTTCGAAACAAAATGGCCAGATGTCATCACCCCAAGCAAAGCGCACATGAAGGCACCCTAGGCTACGCTGGTCGCCATAACCGACTCTCCGCTTTCTGTGCGAAAAGGGGGCCACATGGACGGTACCCCTGTACCACCCACACCAGCGCTTTTAAACCAACACGAGGATACTACAGACTTGCAGGCATTTTCCAAAGCGCGCATCACAACACGACCCCAGCGGTCAACGTTTCCTTAGGGCCTCAGAAACTTTACCGACAGCATGTCGAGTTCCAACAAAGGTCACGCGCCCACTCGCGGCTTTCCCTGGCTCGGACGACCTCCGCGTCAAGCAAGCAACCGCCCCCCCCTTTCCACTAATGGTGGTCGGAAGGAAATGAGCCCGATCGATGCCCGGCCTGTGCGTGCAGGCGCCCTTCAGGTAGGGCGACCTTGGAGACCGAGCAGTGCCACAGCCCGCTGCGCTGCCGTCACGGTCGGACTGCTGGCGCGGCCGACCACGGACACGCTCGACGGCTGCCTGCAGAGCAGCCGCTCGTCGGCGACGGACGCGCAGTTCGCGGATAGGAGAAGCGGGGGCCTCCGTGGAATTCACTCGTGATCATTGCAGGCGGGGTGTTGGTTGAGGTACGGTGAGAGGGAGTAAATGCCGATGTGTACTCTCATCCACTCTAATATAGGGTGGCAAAAATGGATCTTACTCCGAGCCGAAAAAACAGACGCATGCGCATAGAAAGCTGGAACGTTCACCGAACGTCTATTCTGTTAGTCAGTTTTACCTCGTGAATTGTCAAGACTTAGTTGTATTCCCCTAAAAGAAAATAAGATCAACAGACTTGCCGAAGGCAACAGTGGATGTGTTCGGGTATCCCGATAGGTCCAGCGAGCCGACAACAGAGAGCGTCGTCAGCGCACTGCGCCCTCCGCGAGATTTAGTTACATTCATCGCTAACTCGTTCGTCTGCGAACACGTCCGCCGTCAACTTTGGCAAGTTTGCTGGACTCATTTATTACAGGAAGAAAACACGCCCTGAAAATTTACAAAGTAAACCTGACCCCCCTCAAAGCACATTCGATTTTAAACGGTGCATGTGCAAACGCAACTTTTTTTTTTTTTTTTCCGGTCCGTTTTACAACGTAAGATTCACTGCAGCTACTCTATAGAGGTCAAGTCGCTCAACTCGTCGAGGCAGGTTAAAAGATGAGGAAGAATTGTGGGGGGAGACATTGAAGGGAACAATATGCAGCAGTCTTTATCTCTAAAGTTCTCTGATGCATGAAATGCAGATTTCATGGAGTGATCGTTTAAATTTGTTTAGAAGACATTAAACGTCACGCGACTTTGTGGCGGGGAGTTACGGTGTCGGGGCATGATTTATAAAAGGTGTCTAAAATGTGCTTTGCGAGATGCCTCCACCTATCACTAGGGTGCCTCAATGTCCTTCTGTTTAGGGTGATGCCACCCTTTGTAGTACCAGATGCCGACAGCACGCGCTCACGGGAAAAATACAAAGAAATCGACGAAAACAAAATGTCGCCATAGCACCGTCAGCGCCTCTAGCGCGTGCAGGGACACGCTCTTTCACGCGCTTCTGAACAAAAAATAAGAATAATCGTGTGTGACAAAATGGCGAGACGCCACCACCCTATACTTCGTTTCAGCTTCGGTCCAGACGCAGCCGATGCTACAAGCGCGAGCATGTGGCCCAGAACAGTGCTTGCACTGCACGAGCGCGCGTGCTTGGCAGGGATGCTGAAAGCCCGGAGCTCGCGCTAGTAGCGTTGGCTGCGTCTGGACCGAAGCTGAAACGAAGTATAAGTACAGTGTTCTAGAGGGTGTAGTGGCAAGAGCGGCGCCCGCTTACAATGAAGCGCGTGAAGACGGTCGACGTAGATACCGCGAGTGGCGCTGGAGTTCTGTGCCCTAGGAGAATTAATGGCACTTGTGCGATGAACGAAGAAGACGACGAGGGTGTCGCGGTACGCTTCTCCAAAATGTAGCACCACGTAGAACTTCTTTCGCAGCTATTAAGCCTGCAGCCCAAGTGATACGATGTGTCAGTACTGGGGGGGAGTCGATATTAATTAAATAATCTCCCTCAAAACACGCGAATATTTCAAGTAGAGGATAGCACACACTCTCTCGAGGCATTAGTCCAAAGGCAGAACTACAATTTACTATACCTCGTTTCACCCTATGTTTTACCGCAGCGAAGGCTAGAAGCGCGAGCTCATATGGCAGCTCATACGAGAGCTTGTGCCGCCGAGATGTGCCCCAGAGCAAGGAGCTGGCGCTTGTAGCCTTTCCTGCGGTACATGATAAGGTGAAACAGAGTATTGGCGACGTGCGCGACCGAAAGCGTCGCTGTGGTCGGCCTTTCACGATTGGCCCAAAAGCTGACTATGACGTCGGAAAGGGTATACCATCGACGAAAATAAGAAGAATGAAGGAACTTTAATTTCGACGGTGTTGGCAGTGTTCCTTTGAGAGCGCAATGATTTCAGGCTTCCACCATGCTATTTACAAACACCATCGAACTTGTTGTTCGCAAGGTAATGACGTCACAAGGGGGAACCATAGGAGGGCGCCACCAAAACATCTCGACGCTAATACAGAACAACATTAGCAGTTGTTTCGCACCGCGAAAAGCTCCAGTCAAACCACAGTAGAAAGCGCCGAACAGCGCTGATGATGGGGCTGACGGGGGCGCGCTCCTAGGGCACTAGGGTGCCTACATGTCTGTCTGTCTCAGGGTGAAGACATTCATTGTTGCCCTGAATGTGCCAGCGCGTGACGCTCTCGCGCACTCGGTGCGTGACTTGGGTGGTAAAATGGCGTCTACGCGTTAGCCAAAGCTACGCGCTCGAGCTGAGTGACACTGGATTGCGCGCGCTTCAAAATGCATAAGAAACGATTGGGCGGAAAAATGGCTGAGATGTCACCACTCAAGCAAAAGCGCGCGTGTGTATGAAGGCACTCTATAGGGCACAAAACAGCAGCGCCATGGTGTCGTCTACGCGCAAAATCTTCACAAAGCGGCCGCCGCTCTTGCCACTACAACCCCCTCTAGAACACTGTACCCTAAGCAAGGCGCACATGAAGGCACCCTACCTATCACTATCCAAGAACAGTTCACGGAACGTCGCTGCAGGTGTGAGGCTTTCCAGAACGATATTTTTTTTTCTAGTTATTTTGATTAATTTCTTCGACCTTCATAATTATTTCACCTGCAGCGTCTTGTTTATTCAAGAAAAAAAAGGAAGATATCGCGTGAGCACGCTCCACACCAGAAGAACTATACCAATCGCAGAAAGAATGCTGAGTGGTTGGGCCTCGTTAGTAAGTAAAACCACTTTAGTAAAACCCAGCATCATACCGCGGTAGTTTCGATACGTCTGGAGAACATACACTTTTTTCGGGGTGTCTACACCCCGCGCTGTGTGGAACGCGTCGTTCGTGGATGATTCTTCAGTTCTGCTGCTGGTTACTTACGATAATTCCACTCATGAACAACATGGCGAATATAGCGTCTGCTCATCGCACATCGAACAACGTGTACCCATTTTCTGTAGGTTTGTTTCTTTCAGGTGCGACTTTTTTGAGCCGCCATTTTATTGTTGGTGAGAGCTTAACGCTCGATTCATGAGCACGGCTAAGCCGGACAAATGGGTGTGAATTGGAAATTAACCTTTATTGAAGTAGAGTTCTGCGCATGTGCAGGCCTTCCTCAAGCG